AAGCATCGAGGACGACCGTGCGACGAAAACAGGGAGTGCCTGGATCTGACGCCGCTTGAAATCGTGGTCTGTCTGGTGAACGCATGCCCGGTCCACCCACACAGACAGCGGTCGAAATCGATGCACGACATGCTGGCCAAAAAAGAAGACAAAGAAAAAGACTGCGATTGGGACGTAGACCAGGATGGGCATCAACCTTACAGTCAAGGACTTAGGGTTTACCTTGGCGCAGGCGCATGCCAAAACGGAGGCAGACCGCCATCACTACCCCACAGTTTACGTATGCATTTCACTGATTCACGCAGGTCAAGTGACAATAGGTTGCCACCAAGGTTGGCTGCTCCGCCTGCGCAGGCAATCATCGCTGCAGTAGCCAGCAACCATGTGGCCACAGAGCATACTGCAGCTGCTGTCAGATTCCTTCGTTCCCCGGTAAGCCCTTGATAATGAGGGTGCTCTTTTTCCGCGTAGTCATATTATTGCTTACAAAAAGTACAAAGGCACTACTGTTAGACCCCACGCCGCAAAGTTCAAACCCTACACCCTAGCCCTAACCCGAAACCCAGACCCTACACTCCCTACACCCTAAACCCCACACCCCTATACACGCTAAACCCTTAAACGGACCTAGATTCACGTAGAGGCATAATGCCAAGTACTTTGTCCAGCGTGCAGAGCCCCAGCGATGGCTCAGAAAGACCTGCAGCTTGCAGGGTTTAGGTCCAAATGGTTTCAGGTTTCAGATTGAAAATGGTCCTTCATAAATAGCTAGCCGCCAGTTTAAGGGAACATCATATCAGAATCCTATCATACTTGTGTGACGGCTATTGTTTCGGAGCAACTCTACCACAGTCATATAGTGGAATTTGCAGCAATCTAATACATTCGCTATTGCGTTCTCGAAATGGCTGACGAGCACAAGGAACCATTCTGTCGGGGCTGTCCCTGGGGCTCCAGGCCATATCGGTCATGAACACCGCGCTCGATGCTTGAGCTGCGAACACACATACCTAGACCCTCAAAAGTAGGTAAAATAATGGCCCAAAACCTATAAAAGGCTGTTATTCTACATACTTTTGGGGTCTAGGTATACACACACCCTAAACCCTAAACCACCCACACACACACGCACACGCCCACGTACACACTGCATGGATGTCAAAGGCAAGGTCCGCCAGAACTAGTTAGTCAACTAGACCAAGTCATGAGGTTTGGGATAGACTTCACTTTAATTCTCAATAGGGAATCTAGGCCAATGATTGGGCCCCTTCGTTTCGAAGAGGGGTTTGAGATTTCCTTGGGGGTATGACAGAGTCTAACAAGAACCTGAAACATGATCGTATTCAGGGCCCCAAATGAGGCCTAGCCTGCTCCACCCCAAACTCTAGCCTGACACCCTGCACCCAACCGAAAACCCACCGAACAAAATCGGCAACCCGACACCCTAAACGTAAGACCTTAGAAGCTGCCCCCACCCTGTAATGGTGACCATAAGGATTATATAGGGGTTTTCTAGGGCCCTACCATATTCCTATTATACCACTATTACAGGGTGGGGGCAGCTTCTAAGTAAGACCCCAAACCCCACACCCCAAAACCCAAAACCTTAAAACCGCGAAACCCTAAACCCTAAACCCTAAACCCCTAAACCCCTAAACCTATGTGGGAGTTTCCGAGAAGAGCAGGACCCTGAAGAAAGGACCCCAGAAAAAGGTACCTCTAACTTTTGGCAACTCCCATATACCCGAACCCTATGGATCAACATAGCCCAAAAACCTTTGTAGAGTATGGTCTTTGGGCCCAAAAGCCTTAATATATGAGTCCTTAGATTCCTACCTAAACCCTCAAAAGTAGGTAAAATAATGGCCCAAAACCCATAAAAGGCTGTTATTCTACATACTTTTGGGGTCTAGGTAGGGAAAAAACCCTAAACCCTAAACCCTAAACCCTGAAAAAAACAATGAAAGTGCCGTGGCGCATCTACGCTCTCGGCCGTCTGGGTCGATTCGAAGATGTTCGACCCAGCTGCGAGCACCTGCGGGCATCCGGCTTAACTAGACCTAAGAGAAGCCTAGGAATAAAAAGGGTGCCCTTTTTGGTTTAGAAGGGGTTATAAGGGAACCTAAACCCTAAAAAAGGGAATAAGGGCCTACTCCGGGTCCTAGTTAATGTAGGGTTTACGGGTTTACGGTTTAAACGCCTAATATAGGATTTAGGGTTTATGGGGTTTAGGGTTTAGGGGTTATAGGGGTTTAGGGGTTTAGGGATTAGGGGCTGTTTTTTTTGTTAAAGTTGATGTGCCCCTCTTTCAGGCATTTGGGGCTTATAGGATTGAGGGTTTATAGGGTTTTGGGTTTGTAGGGTTTAGGGCTTACAGGATTTCGGGTTTATAGGGTTCAAGGTTCTAGGGCTTATAGGATTTAGGGTTTATACAAGGATGTAGGGGTTTAGGGTTTAGGGTGGAAGGTTCAGCGTTTAGAGCTGGGTAGGGCCTTGATGATGATCTGAACCCACACGCTTAGGGGAACTAAAAGGAGATGCTATGAGTATGTATTCTACTTGAACACTACAATGTAGTCCTTGTCTAGTTGCTGATTACATCGTATTTCATTCAATGCCACAACTCATCAGGGTCTAATGTAGGAACCTGATTAAGAAACCTTGGGCCTTTGTTCAGGTTCCTTATATGAATCTTACTATTTTGGGGTTATAGGTTTAGGGTCTCGGGTTCAGCTGCCCAAGAATCTAAGCCCTAGCGAATCGTGAAGCCTTCAGGACTTCAGACCCTATGACAGTCGCCTTAAGGCATTGCATGCCCTGCAGAACATGGTGGGACAGCTCATGGTCTTGGCAAGCCCTAAACCAAAAAGGACCGGAACTACGTACTTCAAGCCTGGATTTCAAACCTCAAGGCCTCTAAACCCTAAGCCGTGCTAAGCACCATCACAATCACCCATAGGAACAGTCAGTATGTGAACGGCTGCTGCAGGGCAAGAACCTGCAAACGGCCTTCGCTCTCCAAAGAAGGATCACACAAAAGCCCTACCCTGAACCCTAAACCCTAAACCATATAAACACCTAAACCCTAGGTACATTGCTTCAAGAAATCCACAGCTCCAGATTCTGGGTTGTGGTCCTCGAGGGGAGAATCTCGATGGGTCCGGAAATACGAAGGCCTGAATACTCTAATTGGGGCCCATTATAATCAGGAATCCCCCCAAACAGTATTGGTGAATATTTCGGGCACTATAGTAGCATTTCACTTAACCCCTAAGGGTCCATGCATCCAAATAGTATACTTTGGCCACAAATTATATATATATATATATATATATACACAGAAGAGGAGGCTGTGGGGCCTGCGCTTCAGTGGTTTTGAATTTTTCGAGTGGTTTTGTATGTTTTGTGCTCTCTCTCTCTCTCTCTCTCTCTCTCTCTCTCTCTCTCTCTCTCTCTCTCTCTCTCTCTCTCTCTCTCTCTCTCTCTCTCTCTATATATATATAAGGACTACGTTGAGGCCAATGTATGCACTATGTGGGCACATGGACCTTTAGGAGCACTACAAGTACATTTATCGAATGCGAAGGAACAAAAAGGTTGGGTTGGTATGACACGGCCCCAACGTTCGGGACCTTGCATCCTCAAGGGAAAGCATATGAATGAGGATATATTCTCCCAAATACTAACCTGAAATACTACCATCCTGGGCGCAAAGACCCAAATTATACACAAAAGCTGACTTGGTTGCGAAAACTTACAGGAACCCTATGAACACCTCAACGAAATACTGGACAACACTTCGACACCCTACCAAAACCCTAAACGAGCCCTAGATAACTCCACAAATAACCTACGCAAATCCTGCAAATAATCCCTAAACGAACTGGAGGAATTCTGGCTAGGTGCCCTGAAACCCTCCGTAACCCTGGACCCTAAACCCCTTATATATATATATATATATATATATATATATTTGTGTGTATGTGTATGTGTATATATATATATATATATATATATATAGACTCTTATAGTAACACTTTGCAGGCCTGTGGCGGAAGCCCTTTTACAGCCTTCGAAAACCCTTCAAAGCCACGTCCCGTACAACTCCCCAAACCCTGAGCCCTTAACCCTGAACCCCTTCGCCCTAAACCTCTAAACCCCTAAACCCTAAACTAAGAAACCTCATTAATAGCCCTTTGTGTACTGTGTACCTCCTGCTTGGTCGGAATCTTCTCTGGGCGGAAGCCGCCTGCTCCCAGAAGGCCTGTTAGAGTTTTAGGGTCTTGGGTTTAGGGTTTAGGGGGTTTAGGGTTAGCGCATTGAGGGTTTAGGATGTAGTTTCGTTCGCACGAGGCTGCTAACAAGAGATGTATAGTGTATAAATAACCCTACTTCGTACTACTCATGAACCTCCAAGTAGACAAATCGCATTCGACACGTGTGCCAAAAATGGGCGAACCCGACACCGAACCAGTCCCTCTCGGGTTGGGGTGACCATAATCTCTAAGCTCCAAGGGTAAAAGGAGGGACCCTTAATAAGGACCCCTAGGTATATACTCTTAATATAGCTATTATATAACCATTATATAGCCCATTCTAGGCTAAGGGTCCCCTTTAAGGGTCCCTCCTTTTCCCCTTTCATAAGCCCTAAACCCCCAATAGCGAGAAGCCCTCCCAAGAACCCCCAAATCCAATCGACAAAACAAATTCGCTCCGGGCCTATCGGCCTCGGCCCCCGCCCTTAGGGTTTAGGGTTTAGGGTTTAGGGTTTTAGGGTTTAGGGGTTTAGGGTTTAGGGTTTAGGGTTTAGGGTTTAGGGTTTAAGGTTTAGGGTTTAGGGTTTAGGGTAACCATGCCAGCCCCGTGGAGGCAAAGCAAAAAGGGTTACAGTAGAAGCCAGAAAGTTGGAACATCATTGGCCTCATGCCCTTAAGGTAAAGTATAAGGGATCCTAGCACTAATCCTCCTAAAGTCATGTTCCAACTTTCTGGCTTCTACTATAAGGTTTATAGGGTTTAGGGTTCCGTTTCCTTTAATAGCTCCTTTTTCCCAGAGGCGGCAATTCTGCGACTTCCAAGAAGGCCAAGAAAGGCCAGGAGGGACGGGCCCACTTTAGGCTCGCGCTTCAGAAAAAAATCCTTAAACCCTTTCAGCAGTCACCCTCCGCGATAACTCGGGTTTAAGGAAACCCTAAACCCTAAGATTCAGAGTTCAAGGTCATAGTTTCTGGGCCCTGAGTGGTTAGAACATGCTTTGGCACATGATCTAGAATAACTATCATCAAGAGCCTGAGGAACATCATTACTAAATATTCCGACCGCGAAGAAAAACAATGGTCCATGTATTCAAATCTCATAGACTTTGGGCCTTAAAGTAATCCCTATATAGGTAGTTGTTTTCATATACTATAGATTTGAGGATTGAGGAATAGCATTACTAAAACACCCCAAAACCTCAACCCTAAACCCCAATATTTCCGACCGCTAAAACATGAATGTTGCTTCCTAGGAAGCACCCAGAGTTCGGGACAGTGGCTCCTAAAACCCTGGACCCTAAACCTTCGGTTCGGCCTTTTGGACCTCTACCCTGAACCCTAAACCCGGAAACACCTACATTTTTAAGGACCTGTAAAAGGACATCATAATAAGGAGCCCTAAAGAGGTAGGTTTTTCAAGCTTAAGGTCTACCCTATAAACCCTAAACCCGGAAACTAGGTGGGGCTTCTAAAGCCTTTGAAAAATATTAGTAAATAAGATCCTCTTAAGCCCAATAAGGGAAAATATCAAATGTCCCAAAGCCCTACCTAGGAAAGGAAGAGGGCCTTTCAATCCTTCCATGAAGATTGCCCCGCGCTTGGCGAGGATCCTGCTTCATGCTAGGGCTTGTAGGGAGGGTTTGGGTTTAGGGTTTAGGGTTTAGGGTTTAGGGTTTAGGGATTAGGGTGGGTGTAGAGCTTTAGTGGCTTTCGGGTTCGGAGTTTGGGGGCGTTGATGATTGGAATAGGCTTCCTTTCGAGGGTGTCTTTAAAGGTTTGAATGAGGGCTATGCTGTAGAGTTACACTATGGTTTGGAGGTATATGGGAGTTTGCGAAACTACGGGTAGGGTCCCCCATTTTCGGAAACTCGCATATGACACTATGATTCGGACATCTACGGAATCAGATTCGTAATTATTCAAGCCCCTGTAGCAATCCAATCCTTCTCTACCTGCAACCCGGAGAAGACAACTACCTAGACCCCAAAAGTATGTAGAATATTCGCCTTTTATAGGCTTCGGGCCATTACTTTATTACTTTTGAGGGTCTAGGCAGGTTTTAATCCGCCAATGAAGGTTTTAAATTTAGTAAGGGTTAGAGTTTAGGGTCTGGCACAGTCCAGGGTTCGAAATTACAGTAGTAGGGTTCGGGGCACCTTCAACAACCATATGCGGACTATAACCGGTGACACTACATACAGCGCCGGTCCTTTCTCTATTTCAAACGATGAGACACTTTCACAAAATAAAGGATCCCAAGGTAGACCTCACCCGAACTGTTGTGAGGACCCTTAGTAGGGTCTAGAGCTGCCGTAAACCGCTAAACCCTGAAACCTACGTGAACCCAAAACACCGTGTGGTTAAACTCACCATAAGGACTCAAGGTTCGGACCTTTAAGATTACCTATCCTCGTCCGGTAAGCAAGCGATCTAGCAGACAAGATACGTTTCGGATTCTGAAAATTAAGGAGCCTTTCTGTTTGTTGGGTACAAGCTATATACGACGTTCCCGCAATGCACAGTTGTTCGATTCCCTCATCGTTTTTCTGAACCCCCACAAATCAACGAACTTTGAGGGTTTAGTGTGCAACATTCTGAAGCATAAGCCTGTAACGAATGCGCAGTTGAAACAGGTTTGTCAGGCGCTTCAGTTGCCATGGTTCTGGCCTTTGAGGATAAACCAAGGGCATATGAAGACTGCGTGTCTCTCCAATGAAAACCAAGTACATGGCCGTTCGACCCCAAAGTGGATGGAATGTAGACTCTCTAGACCATAGCCTAGAGAAATCTGGATCCTAAGCCGTCAACTCGGAACCGTGGCTAGATTCCAAGTTGACCGTACCAGCCTATAAACTAGAACAGACGATAACCTACGAACATATGCCATAATGTACGAGAAAAATCCCATAATGCAATATTACCTATCATGATATACTGTAACATACCATAATATGCCATAATATCCTGCAATATACTATAATGCACTATACTACACTATGACAGACTATACTGTACCAAAATTAGGAAACAAACATGCTATGATGTACCATAACATATTCCAAACCCTGAACCCTCAACCGATACCATAAGGACAAAGCACTGTGACACCTATAATGTACCCTACTTCATCAGCATTAACATACTACTACTACTACTACTACTACTACTACTACTACTACTACTACTACCACTCCTACTACTACTACTACTACGACTACTACGACTACTACGACGACGACTACTACGACTACTACTACGACTACTACTACTACTACTACGACTACTACTACTACTACTACTACTACTACTACTGCTACTACCTACTACGACTACTACTCCTACTACTACCACTACTACCACTACTACTACTACTACTACTACTACCACTACTACTACTACTACTACCACCAATACTACTGCTACTACTACTACTACTACTACGACTACTGCTGCTACTACCTACTACTACTACTACTCCTACTACTACTACTACTACCACTACTACTACTACTACCACTACCACTACTACTACTTACTACTACTACTACTACTACTACTACTACTCTACTACTACTACTACTACTACCACTACTAGTACGACACTACTACTACTACTACTACTACTACTACTCCTACTACTACTACTACGACTACGACTACTACTACTACTACTACTACTGCTACTACCTACTACAACTACTACTCCTACTACTACCTACTACGACTACTACTACTACTACTACTACTACTACTACTACCACGACTACTACTACTACTACCACTACCACTACGACTACTACTACTACTACTACTACTACTACTACTACTACTACGACTACGACTACTACTACTACTACTACTACGACTACCACTACTACTACTACTACTACGACGACTACGACTACTACTACTACTACTACTACTACGACTACTACTACTACTACTACTACTACTCTACTACTACTACTGCTACTACTACTACCTACTACTACTACTACTACTACTACTCCTACTACTACTACTACCACTACTACTACCACTACTACTACTACCACTACTACTACTGTTACTACTGCTCCTACTGCTACTACTACTACTACTACTACTACTACTACTACTACTACTACTACTGCTACTGCTATTTAATGTACTATGACATGGTATAAAGCCAAAGCGCTGTGGCACCTATAATGTACCATACTTCACAAGCATTCACATACTACTACTATCATGTACTATAAAGAATAATGAGGCCAAAGCGCTGTGGCACCGTGGTCATCCGGAAGAGGCCCTCCGCACGCACGTCGTCGAAGGACTCCGGCCGGCGAAGGCGCGCCATGTCAGACACTTCAAGAAAAGCAGGGGCTAGGCATTTATAGGGGTTTAGGATTCATGGGGGTATGGGTTTTATACGGGTTTCTATAGGGCTTAGGATTTAAAGGGTTTGGGTTTGTAGGGTTTGGGTTTTATAGGGTTTAGGGTTTATAGGGTTGAGGATATAGCGTTCAGTTTAAGGTTCTGTTGACCTTAAGAACACCCTAAGCCTCTCAAGACTCATATCTTGCAGGCTGTTGGGCCGAAAAACCGTTTCGCATACCCTGTACTTCAGGCGTTTGTAAAATTCTGAGCCTTAGAGTAACAAGACCCTAAGGTTTTCAGGACGCCGATGTGTATCAAGGCTGTTGGGCGCCAATTCCCTACTGCTGTAGAAGATATCGGTTTCCGGCTCTTTCCCAAAGACGGGCTGTGCTGTGTATGTTGTTTGATGCGGAAAAAAAGGGGTTGGGGGTGGGGCTTCATGCTTCCATGCTAAGGTGACATTGATTGGCTGACATGGCAGGCTGCGGACGGAAATGAACCCAGAAGTTGATGTCCTGCTTTCACACTCTGTGGCCGGATCCTAGCAGTGCAGGGAAGCTTGACTCTAACCTGGTAAGAACTCACAACAACATCGGCTTTCTATACCACAGTACACCCCATAGGATGCTATAGTGTATCATAGTATTCATACCATTATAGTATCGTCTACATAGTATAGTACAGTGTAGTGTATTCCAGTATTAGTAGATTTCCAGCAGCGGCACTAGCTGAACGTCAATGCAGCGAGTTTGTATATAAGCGAGGCTCCGCAAACCCCAAACGAGATCCGATCAGGCCATTTCATAACAGACTACAGCGAACCATAATTCCTATATACTTTATAATAACATACTAGTTATATACTATGCGACACGGTTACAAACGTTATAATCTACTAGAGCATCTAATGACTCAAACCTGGGTATGGTTTAGCTTTTAGGGTTTCGGGCTGAGGGCTTAAGGTTTAGGGATTCGCGGGCCAAGTTTCGGGATACTTTATCAGAACGTCCATGTCTTCTCAATCACACTGGCCAGCGAGTTGCGCTAGTGACTTGCTCCATCCTTGCAGAAATCTGTGCATTGCGGGAATGGAGCCACATGAGCTAGGCAAAGCCTTAGACTTATCGCTGGGTTCAGGGCTAGTGAAGAATCCAGGTGACCCTGAAACGAAACCACGGTTGAGGGTGCTTAGGAGGTATCGATCATGCTCTCCGCAAAACCGGAACGTCTCCCGATGCTGCGGTGAGACGTCGCTAAGCCGCTCCAACTTGAGGCGCAGCGCTTGCGTCTTGTGTAAGAGTCGCAATGCGAGACCCAGCCTTGTGCAGCGTTTCTTGCCTTTGGCAAGATCGCTGAAGCGACGACTTCAAATCCCTAACCCCAGTACTAGCACTAGCGCTACTACCAGCACTCGAGAAACAGAGGTGTCAATCACAAAAGCGTGTTTCTTGTGATGGTGATGGTGATGAAGACGAAGATGAAGGCGGAGGTGATGACACTGATGACGACGACGAGGCCAATGCTGACGGTAACGGTGTTAGTTTTGCTGCTGGCTGAGATGCTGCTGATGATGACGATGATGATGATGCCGGTGATGGCGATGACGATGATAATAATGATGCTGATAGTGCTGGTCGTGGTGATGATGATGCTGATGCTGTTGCAGATGCGGCTGCTGATGCGTTTGATGCCACTACTAAGAGGCCCCCTTCACGTCTAAGCTTCCTGTGCTGGTATCGTGCTTCCCCTATCACACCGAAGAAGAAGGTGGCTTCGCTTTCGCAGAAAAATGCGTGAAACATCGATACACCAGTCGATGCTTGCGGTTCATTACTTCCGAAGGACCGGGACACATACTAGCGGTTGAGGCTTGGTGGATTGGGCTCTGCTTCTACTAACCTACACAACACGAACAGAGGCTCCTGCAAACTCATGCCACCGCAGTCCAAACCTGCACAAAACCGAATCAAGCAATTACGGTAATCCATGGCACCGCAAAAGCTCGGCATCCAAACCGAAAGCACAAGAGCATGAACCAATAACTTCCAGCAACACCCGCTTTGGAGGAACCCTTCGCCTAAATGCTCTTATCTTACTTATTAACATAGGGTTCCTTTACAATGCGGCTTATATACTGCAGGCATTCGAATGCAAGACGGCGGCCAAGCCCCTGAAGCGTCTACAAGATGAGGGTTCAGAGAAGGGTATACGATGACTCTCTTCGAGATCTTAGTTTGCATATAGAATGAACCCTAAACCATAAACCCTAAACCCTAAACCCTAAGGGTTTACGCCCTAGGCTTCTCGGTTATCGGGTGTAGGAGGCCCAAGAAAAATCGCCCGACAACTCATCAGCCACTTGCCTACTTGGAGGATCATGGGACTTAGTATGTAGGGCTATAAGTCCCTTATTTGGGCTTATAAGTAATTAGAAGTACAGTTACCTTAATTATAACCCCAGTTACTAAGTCCCATGCTACTTTAAGTAGAACAGACACAGCGATCAGAGGTAAGGATCCTACTGTTTCGGGTGCTATAGTAGGGTCCTCTATGTTCTGAAACTCCTATACGGCTCCCCCTGAACCACAAGCCCCATGCCCAAAGCTGCGGGATTCGTGGAGTCAGCCGCCCTAAACCCTGAACCCCGAACCTTCAAGCCTGAACCCTGAGCTTGAGGCCCTCAGCCCTAACCCTTCAACTCTAATCCCTAAGCCCTGAACCTTCACCTCCACACCCTCAACCCTAAACCCTAAACATCTTCAAATCCCTAAACCTTAAATCCTGAACCGCAAGCACTTAGATGCTGAAGTCGTCTGCCGCATGCAAGGCCCGGTAGGTGGTATCCACGGGGGAGCCTCTTGATCCTGGCAAGGCGGACCAGGGGCTCGGTTTAGGTTTTGGGGGGTTAGGGGTTTAGGGCTTTGGGGATTTAAGGGTTTAGGGCTTTAGGGCTTTAGGGGTTGGGGATTTAGGGGTTTAGGGTTTGGGGGTTAGGGGTTTTTGGTGCTTTTGGGGATTTAGGGGTTTAGGTTTTGGGGGTTTAGGGGTTTAGGGCTTTGGGGATTTAGGGGTTGAGGGCTTTAGGGGATTTAAGGGTTTAGGGCTTTGGGGGATTTAGGGGTTTTAGGGCTTTAGGGGTTGTGGGGTTTAGGGTTTGAGGCAGGGCTTAGGGGTTTAGGGTTTGGAGCCAAAGATTGAAGTTTGCGTATCAAGGCTTCGTAAGGTGAAGGCTTGTGGTCCCTTTCTGAATTAGGAAATCTTGTTTTGGATTTTTGTTGGGTTGTTTGGGCTTTTTGTTTTTTTTTGTTCTTTGGGGTTTTCTGCGCTGGTTTTCGAATCCGGTTATGACGTTGGTGCCCTCACCCCTAAGCTGAAGCCCTCAAGGGTAAGCCCTGACCCTAAGACTCAAAATAGCACAAAAGCCCTGCCCTGCGGTTGATGATATAAATCCTGCATTACCCATAATAAGGAATATACCATTATTCCCATAGTTTAGAGTTCTTCAGGTAATGCAGGATTTATATCATCAACCCTAGTATGCTCTTTGGGCCCAAAAGCCTTGAGGGTTTCACCTGTCGGGCTGAGGGTCTGAAAAAGAGGCTTCATCTGAGGACCCCCTACATGAACTCTAAACTTGAGAGCTTCCTGACAGCAAGAAGGTCACACATATACATAGACAAGTAAGGAATGAATAAACACATATATATATATATATAAACATGTCTATATATAAACATACATACATACATATATATATGTATATGTAAACATATATATATATATATATATATATATATATATATACATACATACATGCTCTCTCACACACACACACACACACACATTTAAACCTATCTGTGGGTATGTCAACACATCTGTATGTGTATATTATATACATATATATATAGAGATATACGTATTAGGTGTATATAGGTACACACATGTCATGCATATAGTATGTGTATATATATATATATATATATATATATATACAGATGCCATAAGTGCTCATACCTTCAGCCCTCAATAGTATAGACAACAGCATGTGAACAGGCATGCTTGAAGACACCATCCCTATGAGCGGCTAGGCTACAATAGCTCCAGACGTCATGATTCTGTGTTCACTTGGGGGTTTCCGAAAATGGTGGACCCTAATATAGTGCCCCAAATATTGCGATCCTTATTATAGGGACCCCAAATTAAATAAGGTACCCCCCCTAATTTTCGGAAACTCCCACTTTGGTCCCTTTACTAGTAGCCTTTCAGCAGAAAGACCACAGGATGCAGGGGAACCCCTTTGCAGGACAAACACGTCGGGCGACGATCGGTACCGAAGAGGCAGTGCAGCTGCAAGAGCAGAAATACCAGAATGGCCAAAAGAGGTAGGAAAGCAACAGCTCCTTCTTGGAAGCTTACGGCAAGAAGTCCGAATAGCAGAGCAGAGCAGAGGAAGCCGTAGCTGACGGTCAAGATGCCGCTTAGAGCTGCCAGAACGAGCTGCAACAATTCTGACTGGACGGCGAAGGTGCGCTTCAGCAGCCGAAGAAAAACCTGAGCTCAAAAACCTTACGTTAAGTCATCCCTGTCACCTGTGGCAAACCTGTGACAACACCAACGAATCAACAAGCAGATAAGCCCCACCAAATATAGGTGCCTGAATAATGAGAATAGAGCTTTGGGGCCCGTTATACTATAATTTCAAAAAGGAACCCTCAGAGTCAAATAGTATTGGTTTGTATTTAAGCCCCTATAGTACGCCATTGCCGTGCTGGGACTGGATAGAAGATGGGAACGACCAAAACGATTGTGGTGAGCCAGCTCACCAGTATCGGCACGAGGTAATTGCCAAAGGATGAGTATCCCATGTTGGACATGCATCTGGCATCGCATTGGAGAACGTCGACCGCAGAATAAAAGATCATGGGAAGAGAAGCTACCAGACACATGTTGTAGGGCACATGCAGCTGGTCTCCCACACTTTCCATGACAGCTGAGCGGAGCGGGCCGCGAATGTAGCTGTTAAATGCGTCCAGAGCTTCATCATCACTCTGAGTATAAGGCACACTGTCCTCTGTTCCCGTGGATGGGTTTTTAAGAACCCTAGGTTCCCGCGGGATGGGTTATCTAAAAAAGACCTATGCGCTGTCCTCTGTTCCCGTGGATGTTGTCGGCAGAACCACAACTTCTCGTTCGCCGAGCACTGACCTAAAGAGGTTCTGGACCTGCTGCTCCACGAGGACCCTATCCTGGGCTCTTCTTGAGGGATTTCGATCATTTACCATAATAAGGAAAATTATCTTACGTGCTAAAAGACCTGTATTAGGGTAACTTAAACTAAAATTGAATATTATAGTAACTTAAATCGAACTCCTTAATACTATGGTAACTGAAATCTAACTCCTTAACAGGAACCCAGTATCAGCCTCGACTGTGCACTCTGCAGCTCGGCAGTCAAAGCACGCCATCTGCTCCAGCCTTGCACGTCCAACAAAAACCCGACAGGATTCTCACTGCTTCTCTTACTACCCAGAGGCCCCAAAGTAGTTCCTTTTTGGGGTTACCCTATAGGATTCTATGTATGAACCCCAAAAAGGAACTACTTTGGGGCCTTTTGGGTAACCCTAACCTCCTGAACCCAAAGATTCAACAAGTTCAGCTCTCGAAATGATTCCTTTGGTACCCTGAACCCTAAACCCTAAACCCTGAACCCCAAACCCTAAACACTAAACCCTAATCCACCCAGCAACATCAAGGCGTGGCTCCTTACCTTGGCTCTGCAAGCCATGGTCCAGGGGATGGACACCAAAATCCCCAAGGCCGTGCCCAAGAGCACGAAAAAAACGGCGAGGGTGACCAGCGGACCAAAGGCCGAATTCAGGAGGCTCGATGGTAAGATGGCCTTACTCCCACAATAAGCCACAAAAAAAAAGGGTAAACTTTCCTATTCCTACTAAATATATGGGAACCACAAGAATTTAAAGGTTGGGTATTGGGGAACTAAGTGGCGGAAAAGGTTGTCGGGGAGGTGAGAACCTCCTGGGGGATGCGATAGTTGAGGATGTTCACTCCTGTGGCCACCAACGTGTCCAGCAAGAGTCCCGACAGAAGCCATGGTGCAAGCCAAAGCGGTAGGAAATGCACCTGACGAGCAACAAGGACAAGTTTTGTGCACGAGGAGCATCTGTAAAGCAAGCCACTGTCGCTCCCATAATCTACCCTGAACCAGAAGAAGCGGCCACATGTTCATTGGAAGGGTTCTCCATTCCAAGGGCCCGACGATTTAAGCCTGAATTAAGGGACATCGTTTCAGGTCAAGAAGCTGTTTGGACAAGTGGCGCTGGATCCTAATGCCCTGATTGATACCTCCCCTGCTCCAGGGACTTTAAAGGGAAAATCCGCATGAACATCGTTGGTGAAGAAGCGGGCTGTGTATACTCGCACGACCGCACCAGTGCTTTTTGGGGAACTACGGAGCTCATGCAAGCTGCAAGTCTGCACCTTCTGAGCACTGCCGTGCTTCGCAAAGGTGGCCAATTCTAGCTGGCACCACAGACGCCGGAAGTATTCATCGTCCCACAACCTGCCACGACAGCAGCTTATTTGTACACACATCGTGTAAAATGTATGTATGTATGTATGTATGTATGAATGTAGGAATGTATATGTATGTTTGCACGCACAACATACGCAATTTTCGTGCTTGCTTGTTGCTACGGTTATGCTTGTGCTCCAGCTTGCAGTGTGTATTTATTTAAGTATATGTATATACCTTTGTATGTATGCTTGGTATGCATATGCAACTATATATGTAGCGGTATCTGCATGTATAGATGTACATGTATATAGTACATGCGTATGCATGCCCACATGTACATGTAAACACAACACTTATGTGTATATGCATACGCATATGTAAATGTACATGCACCTGCGTATGTATATGCTTGTATATGTACGTATGCATTTACGTATATGCAAATGCATGTGCAACTGTGTATCTATATTGTATATGCTGAAAAAAGTATATGTACATCTGTATGCATACCTGCATGTATACCTGTATGCAAATGCAAATGCATAGTAGGGAGAATTATACGTGCATAGCATGGAGGTATGCATGAATGCATGCACGCGCGAAGATATCTGCATACGTATGTGTGAATGGTTGGTTTGGTTGGTTGCTTGTTCGTTTCTTTGCTTGTTGGATTGTCGGTGTACATCTACGCGAACGTACATGTGTCTGTGTGTGTGTGTGCAGGTGATCTTGTGTGTATACGTATGTGCAGATGTATATGTGCATGTGTACGCATTTGCAATTTCATATGTTCATGCAAGTGGGCGAGTCGGTTTATTAAAATGTGTTGCATGTGCTTGGTTGTGCATTTTCATATACAAGCAAAAGTTTGCATATGCAAAAGCAGATGTTATCATATCGGGAAAATGAATCCTGCTGTTTTTAGTATCAAGAATGCGGTGATTACTATTGCTCCTAGTGTTAGTATGCAAGGATACACGTAGGAGTCGTTGAAGTGGATAAAACTACTTTGATCGTTTTTTATATGTTTGTATCTTTCTATTGTCCGATATTGCTACGATTGTATTATGATTTATAATACAGTTATTGCCAGCGAAATAGTTTTTGTTACTATCAACATTGCGATTGTTAATACTACCACCATGAGTATTTTCAATAATCATTGTATATGTTCCCCGTCTTAATGTAAGCAGTATGATCACTGCTCTGTTATTATATAATTACTTGCATTGAGTTCTTCACTTATCTACTCTTTTTGCTTACTTACATGTATTCATCAGCGTGTGTATGCATTTATGTGCCTACTCACTTGCTCAGTTTGGTTTGTTCACAGTACTTATATAACTGTTTTATCAGTTTGCTGCTTCTTCCGATATATCCATCTCTTCTTCATAGTAGCATATAGTATATTTGTGTATATATATATATGTATACATATATACATATATGCATATATCTATGTGTATGTGTGCGTACCTTTCGTATCTCAGGTGTTATCATTCTTGTTTTTTTGTAAAGGTACGCAAATTTGCATCTGTATTATTTCTGCACGTATCGTACATATGCAGATGCAAGAATATGTGTTTATGTACTTGCCTGCATTGCATGCAGGCATGCATGTATGCACGGAGTGTGTATGCATGTATCATTGTGTGTTAAGGTATGTATGTATGTATGCAGGCATGTATGTAAGCTTGATTGCTTGTTTGCCCGATTGGTTGGTTGGTTGATTGGTTGGTCGATTGGTTGGTTGGTTGATTGGTCGATGTATTGATTGATCGACTGATTGATTGATTGGCTGATGGATTGATGGGTTGATTGATTGCCTGCTTGTTCTTCTGTGGGTATGTGCATTTGTCTGTTTATGTCTATGTGCATGTATATGTGTATGTGCGCACATGTGTGCGACATGTATATGTATGCGCAAGTGTATTTTGCATGTGTGTTTGTATGTGTACATACAGAATTGTTTGTGTGTGCGTGTCTATGTATACAAGTGTTTTGTGGTTCTGCTTCTGTATGAGTAGAGATAAACTGTGTGTTTGCATGCTCTAAACACTACCGACTTGCTGCACAGCGGCACAAGCATGGATGAAGACTGCGCAACGAAAACCGGGAGGGCCCGGATCTGTCGTCGCTTGAGCTCCTTCTCTGCAAGGGAGCAACGACAAGTGGATCCTTCTAATGGGTTTAGGGCTTATAGGGCTTAAGGTTCACAGGGTTCGGGGGTTTGGGTCCAACTGTGAGGAAAACCAAACCGCAAAAAGGAAAGAGGATCCCTGCTGCAACAATTCGCCCGAGGTTCGTGGTCGGTCTGGTGAACGCATGCTCGGTCCACCCACAGTGAGACGGGTCGGATACAATGCACGACATGCTGACCGAAGAAGAACACGAAAAAAAACACAGCCATGGGCAAGTACACCAGCATGGGCAGAAGCCTAAGCTGCACAGCTATTACAGAGCCCAGCCGAAATCCTAAACCCTAAAGCCCTGAGCCTGAGAGCTAAACCTGCAACTGAAAATCTTGCGGAGTGGGGTCAGGGAGCAAGAGGTTGCCTCCCAGGTTTGCAGCTCCATGTGCCCAATGGATCATGGCCGCGGTAGCCAGAAGCCATATGGTTGTGGAGCATACAAGCGCTGCCGTCAGATTCAAGTAGAGGCAGAGTGCAAGATACTTCGCCCAGCGGGCAGAACCCCAGCGATGGCTTAGGAAGACCTGCAGCGACATCAAGTGGAGAGCCGCAGAAACCAAACGACGATGTGCCACCGCATGCTGACAGTCAATGTGTTCTAGAATTGCAAGAAGGGCTGACAGCAAAAAGGGATTCCTGTAGCATCGTACCGGGGCACGTCCACCCGATCTGCACAAAAGCTCGATTCGAAGATGCGCGACCCTGCTTGAAGCACCTGCAGAAAGCAGGGGGACGCAGTGCCAAAACCGAGGGATCTCACTAATAACCCCTAAACCCTAAACCCAATCTGCTTCCAGGCCATGAATGACGGGTGCTTTGGGGATCTAAGCAATCAGACAGAGACCTGATATCGACGCACGTTATTCTGAACAGAGCTAGGAAAGCTGGGAATCATGTAGAGATTGGGGCTGCAGGCTTGAGGTTTAGGGATTAAGGGTTAGAACTTATAGGCTTTTATGTACGCTTGCGGGTTTGGGGTTTAGGGTTGTGTTTAGGGTCTGAGACCCAAAGTGCTCTCGCGCTAGGCTTTCGTCTGCAACCCATGGAAAAGCAACTCTACTCCCTTGCATGTTGCAGTTGATGCTTCGGAATCTACTAAACCCTGAACCCTAGCAACAAACCCTTAAACCTAAGTCGTCAACGCTCGAAACAAAGCCTTGTAGCCCCTAACCCTCAAAAACAAAGCCCGAACCCTGAGCCGTAAGAAAAACAACCCGGAACCCTATAAACCATAATTTTTTTCAGGAACCCCACCAAATAGTATAAGTATTAAAGCCCCATATATATATATATATATATACACCATAAGAAAAACAACCCCCTTCCCTTATAGCCTTCCAGGGGTGTTGGCTTCAGTCTGACGTCCCCTCTGACTAACTCATCCTTCAGCTTTCCTCACCGGGGGCTGGGACCGAAAACCCTAAGCCTCAACCCAAAACCCCATGAACCGTATAATACCCCAAACCCCTAAGAGCCCCATAAAGCCTAAAAAAACCCTAAGAGCCCCATATAAAGCCTAAACGCCCTGAAGCCTGCTAGGCCCCGAAAAACCAAAAACCCTCAAAAGTTTCGCGGACATACAGTAGAAGCCCAAAAGTTGGAAACCCAATAGCCTCAATCCTTGCCTTAATCCGGTTTCCAACTTTATGGGGTTTACTATAGATGCCTCTTGCTTCGTCGGGATCTTCTGCGGGCGAAAGCCGCCGGCACCAAGGAGACCTGAAAGACCCAGCGGGGGCAGAGAGTGCGCATTAAAGGGATCTATAGGGTTCCTTAAAGGGATATATACAGTAGGGTTTAGGGTCTACTTAAAGGATCATGGGACTTAAACTAGAGTTATAATGAAGGTAAGTATACTTAAAATTAGATATAACCCCACTTAGGGTACTTATAACCATACTTGGAAAGTCCCATGATCATCCAAGTAGAGTTGCTTGCTTACTGTAGGCGTTTATGACCGCAACGTTGTAGGGTTTAGGATTTAGAACATGCATGTAGGTTAAAGGTGTCCCCAACCCGAAACGGATTTGGGCCTTGGGGTCTAGAGGGTCTAGGGTGCCATGTAATGCAGGTCTGAGATGCGCCGAAAGGGCCTTGGACCTGAAATGGATTCGACTACTGCCCGCAACATGAAGCCCGGAATTCACCAATCTACTTCAGGAGCCTTGTATACACTTGCCCAAACACTGATAACACTAACCCCAAATACAAACCAATTCCTGTATGATCTGGACCACTGATTACTAACCTCCCTTGCTAAACGCAATAGAATTAGGGCCCACTTATGCGCCCGTCTCAGGTACGGGGGTCATTAGTCAGGGGTCTACATTCCGTATTCTCAGGAGTCCTATTATAGGTTCTCTCACCCACGGAAAAATAGAAAACCCGGAAGCATAAAATCAAAAGCCCTACCTATAGGCCCCAAAGTAGTTCCTTTTGGGGGTTCATATATAGAACCCCATAAGGTCATCCCAAAAAGGAACTACTTTGGGGCCTATGGGTAACCCACCCTCTCTCTGACCGCCCGAACCGCCGAAATGCAGGGCTCGGGATCCTAAGCTGCCCACCCTTTAACTTTTAGCCGCTCGCGGCCTAAACCTAAGCAACATCCAGACTACACAAAAGCATGTATCAAAGGGCAGCTGATGTCGAACCCTATAAGCCCTTGAACCCGGAACCGAGAAGTCATGATTTGGGTAGTTGTCAAAATTATGGTCCTTATTTGGGTCCTGATTTTCGGCACCTAATATTTACGGTAGCCAAAAAGGGGCCCTCATTTTGACAACTACCCATTTGCGGGTTCAGGCCTGGCAGACCGTGCATGAAGATCGCTCCACGCTGCGCGAGGATCCTCATACAAGGGAGCTTTCAAAAGCACTAGGTTTAGGGTTTAGGGGTTTTAGGGTTTAGGGTTTAGTTTTCAACAGCATGTGTTCTTGTTGCAAGCAGGGAGTTTGATTTAAGCCGCCGCTATAAGGGAATCATATTATATTAACTGTAGATCCCCATTCTAGATAGTTAACAAGTTCCTGAACAGAACCCAGGATATGGGCCAATATGGCCTACGAAGGTTTAGTGGTTCAGCGGGTTTAGGGCCAGTTTTTGTAGGTTTAGGGGGTTTTAGAATTTGGGTCTCTTGGGGTATAACCTTCATGGTAGATCTTTTTTTGGTTTCCTGGCTTTCTGAATCATGCTTTCCAGCCATATCAGAGCAACTTAGTTGCCTATGAGGAACCGGCCTGCTTAAATGATCGGTCGGTCCTCGTCAAAGTATTTATGCTAAATTTTACACTTCTACTTACTGGGCTCCTTTGCACAGCCCTAACTTAAAACAGGCCCCTCAAGTCAAAGCACTGCGGCACGGTGGTAGCACGGAACAGCCCTTCCGCACGCACATCGTCGTACGACTCTGGACGGCGGAGGCGGGCGCGTGCCATTCTGATGAAACCTCCTGGCCTCTGAGAAGCTGGTCTTTGCATGTAGGCCTTTGCTCGAGGTGTAGAATGCTGCTCATGCATAGTGCAGACTTAAACCTGGACTGCAACACGCTTCCGGTCGACTTCGGTGAAGGCAAAGAACTGAAAAGAGTGTGACAAGTAAGCATGCTTGTGCTGGCAACGCCTGCATCAGTAGAACTACGTCAATAGGATGTAAAACTCAGGACATTGCAAGTTCCATGACCATGATGTCTGTGCTGCGAGAACACAGTGAGGTTTGTTTGGGAGGTTGTTCTAAATTTGGATGGAGCGGGCTGTAGTGAGCCACATCGGAGACATCATGCGATAACAAATGCTGCCTTCCGCGAGAAATTGGGGTTGAGGCAACTCCTCTACCAAAACTTGCACATATGCAAGGTCTTAACCAGTCCCTAAGCAGTAACTATGAGTTCCGCTCAAAACACCCATATAACACCCAAACACTACAACAAACAGCCTGGAGGAAAAGTGACCTGCTCTTTATCGGGCCCTTCACCTTGCATCCACGGCTTCAGTCGACTATGACCAGCAATCGCGCGGCTGACCATCAAGTGAGAGCCTAGATCACTAGCACACAAACCCAAATGCCTACATTGAGACCACTCTGAGCTAATGGGGCGGCTATGTCATGTAGAATACAACAAAACAATTTGGCGAAAACCGGCGCCAAATACGTTGCAAGCGGCACTGTTTAGCGAATGAACTAACTCTGACCTAGATCCGGCTACAAGTGCGAATATGCATGTATGTGTGTTTCTTCGCTTGTATGTGTGTTACAGTATTTGTTTGCATGTGTATAAGTATATAAACATGCATGTCCGTCTGAATGTAGTACGGTATGCATGTATGTATGCAGTTGCGTGTATACACACATGTGTGTATTTAAGTACATATGCAACAGCACTAAACAGTAAATACGTGAGTACGCAAGCTGATATGTATGTAAGCTTGTATACATATGGACATATATATACATATATATATATACAGTATAGGTACATAGAGATATAGATATATAGATATATAGATATATAGATATATAGATATATAGATATATAGATATATAGATATATAGATATATAGATATATAGATATATAGATATAGGGATGGATCAAAACCCCGTGTTGTCGTGGGGCCCCCCACCCCTGCGTTACAAACCCTTGTCGCGCCGGCTTCGACAATGCTATATGATGGACCTCCTTGTCGCACCAGCCTTGTCGCAAAAAAACCCATCTTTGTTACAAACTTTGTCGCGTGAGGGGCGCCCCGGCCCTGTTTCAAACCAGAAGGTTTTGACCCGCTGCCATATACATACATATATATATATATATATATATGTGTTCGGATCTTCCCCGCCCCACTAACAGTGGGCACAATCAGGAGCACCAGGAAATACACGAATTTCCAGGTAAGCTACACCGTACAACCCTTAATTTAAACCCTTAAGCCATTCACAATTTCGGGAACTTGACTCTGCACGCGCAGCATCCTCAGCATGCAGCTAGCCGGAGGGAGACTGATGTGCTAGGGCCAGGCTGCATCATAGGCATCATGTGCGATCATATGTGTCTAGAGGCTTGCAGCCTTCTAAAACAACCTGAAACAAAACAGGTAACGCTCTGCATTAAAGCTGCTGTGTCTGCTGCCGTGCATAGTGTCTGGTCCAGACACACCAAAATTCTAGCATGGACCTTCAGCACCAGCCAGAAACTGCTTTGCTAACTATGGCTTCAATGGCTTCTGCGATTGCTACTACACCGAACTATAATATTGTAGGAAAAGGATTTTTTTTGTGGTCATGGAATGCCGTTCGACTTGCATTTGAAATCGTCAGGCGTACACTCCAACTCAGTTGTTCATAGAATGGATGATAAATCATATCAATGACATCAATGAAGCATGCTGCAAGTGCTTAGTAGCCAAGCAGGCAGCTAAGCGGCTGACCTGGCTCATATCCTCTTACGGCTTCCCAAGACCTCCCAAGGCCTACGTCAGTAGGCTGCTTCCGTGGGCAGTTTGGACAGTGCCGAAAACGTTAGTAGCCCTCTTTGTTGGGGGTAGCTTCTGGTCAGCTTTGTTGAAGCTCCCTGCTGGCGGGGCAAACTCTGTCCGGATCAGGCAGCTTTAATTAAGTTTCAATTCTCCACATTGCCTCAGCTAAACTTTCTTTCATTTTGAAGGCTCTTTTCCTTGTGCTCTTAATTGTGCTCAAACCACTGGCTTTCAGCCAAGGCTTGTGCTATTGCTGGTGCTCCAAATTGTGCTCCTCCTTGTGCTATTTCTGGTGCTCCAAATTGTGCTCCTCCTTGTGCTATTTCTGGTGCTCCAGATTGTGATCCTCCTTGTGCTATTTCATGGCAACTTCTGGAGCTCCAAATTGTGCTCCTCCTTGTGCTATTTCTGGTGCTCCAAATTTGCTCCTCCTTGTGCTATTACTGGTGCTCCAAATTGTGATCCTCCTTGTGCTGTTTCTGGTGCTGCAGATTGTGATCCTCCTTGTGCTATTTTCAATTGACAACAATAGCTTTGGCCTTCCCGTCCTTTGCACGAATCTTGATTTGTGATTCAACTTGTGCTCCTCCTTGTGCTATTTCTGGAGCTCCAAATTGTGCTCCTCCTTGTGCTATTTCTGGTGCTCCAAATTGTGCTCCTCCTTGTGCTATTTCTGGTGCTCCAAATTGTGCTCCTCCTTGTGCTATTTCTGGTGCTCCAGATTGTGATCCTCCTTGTGCTATTTCATGGCAACTTCTGGAGCTCCAAATTGTGCTCCTCCTTGTGCTATTTCTGGTGCTCCAAATTGTGCTCCTCCTTGTGCTATTTCTGGTGCTCCAAATTGTGATCCTCCTTGTGCTGTTTCTGGTGCTGCAGATTGTGATCCTCCTTGTGCTATTTTCAATTGACAACAATAGCTTTGGCCTTCCCGTCCTTTGCACGAATCTTGATTTGTGATTCAACTTGTGCTCCTCCTTGTGCTATTTCTGGTGCTCCACATTGTGATCCTCCTTGTGCTATTTCTGGTGCTCCAAATTGTGCTCCTCCTTGTGCTATTTCTGGTGCTCCAAATTGTGCTCCTCCTTGTGCTATTTCTGGTGCTCCAGATTGTGGTCCTCCTTGTGCTATTTCAAACCAACTTCTGGTGCTCCAAATTGTGCTCCTCCTTGTGCTATTTCTGGTGCTCCAAATTGTGCTCCTCCTTGTGCTATTTCTGGTGCTCCTTGTGGTGCTTTCCCCGAGGCGTAAAGCCAGATCTCGGCTACGAAAGTTTTGAAGGCTGGCAGTTCCTCCAATTAGACTTTAGACCTGGCCGGCCTTAGCTAGAAGCAACCACTCTCTATTCTTGCTTGGCTGCGAACCTGGCCTTTGGCTCCACTAGCCTACGGCAGTCCTTCAGGCGGAGATGTTTCACTCAGGCCTCGGCTTTCGTGAACCATGCCAGCCCATCGGCAAAGAAGAAGTGCTTCACAGGGCCCCATTCATGCTTGTGAACCCAAAATGAAAAATAATCGAATGAACTTGGACCAACGGCACCAGCCAGGACGCGAACAAAACACAAAAACTGCAATAGCTTCGTGGGTCTGCACCTGCGTGCTTCGGAATTGCAGGGATATCTCCCCTCATACATCCCTTGTTGAGTTGTTGCTGCTCAACTCCAACCGAGGCCTTGCCCTTGTGCTCATCTTCCAACGTCACCTGAAGCAGAGCCATTGCCATGCGTGATCAGTTGGACTATCTGGTTTTGAGAATAGACGACTAGACTACACTATAATTTGACGATTCCATAATCCTAAGAAACCCTACCAATCCTACCAGCAGGGAAAATCAAAATGCCACCATGTCCCTCCCCCCACTCCCGGCCCCCTCCCTCTCCCTCCCTTGCCGGGAGGGTGGGGGAGTAAGAAACCTTTATTTAACTGTTACTGGGCCGGGGAACATCTGAATATATGTGTGTGTGTGTATGCATATATGTATATGTGTGTATTTGAGTTGCCTGTGCTTCATGGCATCCACGACCCAGGGAACCAAGTACCCAAGCAGTAGGGCTCAACAATCGGCTCAAGAACCTCTGTTATCATCATTACGGAGGTAGAACCCGAATACTTGAACTCGTGGGCCCTCTAGGTCAGGTAGACCAACCAATAGATTGCCATGGTGTTTGGAATCAGGCGATGGGGGTGGATTGCAGTACAATACCTTAGAAGGGGCCCCCACCCTATAATAGTGGTATAATAGGAATATAATAGGGCCCTAATCTAATCCTTATAGTCACTATTACAGGGTGGGGGCAGCTTCTAAAGAATACCCTTCTAAGTTATTGCGTCCGTTTCCGGTGATTTTTCTCAGAGTCAGCTTAGAGGGTTTAGGGTTTTAGGGTTTAGGGCTGGTAACTTAGGGTATGCGAACTCGTTCAAGACAGAGTTTTGCAATTTCATTTCACCGGGTCCTGATGCGCTTTTCACACCAGGTCCTCTTGCTGCACGTCACATTGGACAAGGGTCAAGAGGATTTGGTCAGGGCTGCTGCAAGAGTTTAGTTTAGGCTTCGCGGACTGCAGCACATCCTGGCAATGGTCGAAGGCTTACCAGAACCCTCCTTGTACCCTCAAATAGGGGTATATGGTCCCAAATAAGGGGCATTTAGGGTCTAATAGGGTAGATGGAGGGTCGAGTCTAGGTACTTCTTGAGCCGGGGGTGTCGGATCCCAAACCGTAAACCCTGAGACCCTAAACCGCGAACCTTCTGAACCCTAAACCCTGAGACCCTATAGCCTGAACCGTAAACCCTAAGACACTAAACCCTAAGACCCTAAACTCTAAACCCTAAGACCCTAAGACCCTAAACACGACGGTGTAGGGTTTGGGTGGCCTAAGGCCTGAGGGTGTTGGACTTCTTGGTTGAGGGAGCTCGACAGGAACCCCCGTGCCGAAGCCTCTCGGTGCTTGGGGACATGCTCTTTGGCCTTAAGGGACTCCTTGTATCGATGCTTTCAGGCCGAGGTACTGTTGATGGACCAAATCCTGCATTACCCCAAGGACCCTAAACTATGGGACTTATGGTATATTCCGTTTTATGGGTAATGCAGGATTTTGTCCATCAGCCGTATTACAGGAATACTTCGGCTATGCTCAGGTGGAGAACTGGCTACATGCAGCTAGCAGTCAGCTCGAAAAGCAAGACAACCCTAAACCCCTAAGCCCCTAAGCCCCTAAACCCCTAAACCCCTAAAGCCCTAAACCCCTAAACCCCGAAACCCCTAAACCCTACACCCTAAGCCCCTAAACCCTAAAGCCCTAAACCCTACACCCTAAACCCCTAAACCCTAAACCCTAAACCCCTAAACCCTAACCCCACTGCCTCGTCTGAAGGAAGCCCAAACTCCTAACATTGCACTGAACGGCCGGGAACGAAGGAACTACCCAAACATACCCAGCAAGCACCCTAGGGCTCCAGTTCATGAAATACTCGTTTAAAGGGCTTAGGGTTTTGGTTTAGGGTTTAGGGTTTAGGGTTTAGGGTTTAGGGGGGGTGTAGGGGTTCATTACGAAGGGTATAATTTGCTATTTGCAGCCCAGTAACTAAATACTTACCTTTGGTCAGTAGGGAATGGAGGAATGGGGTACCATTATAACTACTATTACTACCGTTCTTCCATTCCCTACTAACCAAAGGTACGAAAATAGCCCTAAAGCTTAAAACCCTAAACCCTATAGCCTATACCCTAAACCCTATAAGCCCTAAACCCTATACCCTAGTGCTCACTTCAAGGGATCCCAAAGGTAAGTTATAGGATTATTGAGGCCCCTTTATTATAGTACCCTTATAGATCCCTTATAGTAACCCTTATAGACCCCTTTATACTAACCAAGGGTACGAATATCTAGGTAACTGGAGCCCTAGGGCTAGGCATCGGTTTTCGGGTTCGTTGCTCCGAGCGAATTCCAAAGGACGCCGAGGTGCCGGGAATCTACGGCTGTTTAGGGTTTATAGGGGTTTTAGGGGGTTTAGGGTTTAGGGGTTTTAGGTGTTTTAGGGGTTTCAGGGGGCTTAGGGGTTTTAGGGGTTTCAGGGGGTTTAGGGTTTATGGGTTTTAGGGGGTTTAAGGTTTAGGGGTTTTAGGGGTTTTAGGGGGTTTAAGGTTTAGGGGTTTTAGGGGTTTTAGGGGGTTTAGGGTTTATAAGGGTTTTAGTAGGGGGTTTAGCGTTCAGGGCTTTTAGGGGTTTTAGGGGGGTTCGGGTTTAGGGGTATAGGCAGTTTAGGGTTTAGGGGTTTAGGGTGTAGGGATTTAGCGGTTCAGGGTTGAGGGTCAAGCAGCCGACACCGGTCGATCTCAAGTACTGCAGAACTGCTGGAACTGCTGCCAACAGACGGCACTCTCCACCTTGCTCTGCAGCTCGATTTCTTTGCAGTCCCAATTTACTTCCTGATTCAAGAGGTTTGGATTGAACATGCTTGCAAAGTCGGGCCTACCTTATGTCTGCACTCGGAAGCCATAAGAACTGAATGATCTCTTTGAAAGCTAGAGTGACCTGAACCCTCATGCCCTGAACCTATAACTACCCGCAACCCCACACACACAAATCGTGTGCAGACTAGTTCATCTAGCCCCAATTCGGGTCCTTTTGCGGGCATTTGGGCACTTGGGCTTAAATTGAAGGGCCGGGTTTGTGGGTATAGGCTTAGCGTCGAGGGCCGTATGGGCTCTAGGGCTCAGGGCTTAACGAAATGCCTGTCACACTCCAATGAAGGTTGTCCACTGGGCAGGCAGGCCTTACAAAGAGTGAGTGTGATATCTGCGAAAGACGTTGCGAGAATGTTGGGGGGGGGGGGGGGGGGGGGGTAAGAGCCCGCTGGTCTTATGTTAAATATCATGGTTCTTCATAATGAGAATAAGGTGTTTGACAACACTATGCACGACAACTAAACAAGGAGTATGAGGTAATAATACCTATATACTTCCGTCCTAAACCCCAAACCCTAAACCCCTAGACCCGAAACTCTATTGCGAGCCTAGAGGAAGATTACCCACACAGAGACAGCCAAAGGATTGAGTGCAGAGCTGCCAAAACACAAACACATTCGACCCCGCAGCTGGTGCAACCGTATAGGGGCTTTCTATCTTGACAGGTCTTGGTGGGGTAGGGTTTAGAGTTTAGGGCTTGGGGTTTAGAGGTCTGGGGGGCGGGGGGGGGGGATATTATGCTGATTATTCACCTCCATATACTACGGGAAGATTCGATTGCACACATCCCGGCAGCAAGTACCGTCTTCGAGTTGGGAAAGCCGCTGAAAGTTGAAAGCAGACTTTCAGAATATCTCGGTTCCTTAGAACCCTTTAGAACCTCCTAATTAAAGCCCGTCTCGAATCAGAGGCTTTCCAGAGCATGTAGGCCTAGACTGAAACCCTACTGAAACATTTGGGCACCTTACTCTGCATCCTAAACCCCAAAGCGTCAAGCCCCTAAACCCTAAACCCCAAAGCGTCAAGCCCTTCGCCTCTGCTTGGGTAACCAATCCAGCGCTCACACAGCAACGGCCAGTGGTGCCGGCGCATCCAACGGCGTTCGCAGGAGGGAATTCGAAGCAGAGCCACTGGTAAGCCTCCGACACGGAACCCTCGTTTTCAAAGGCTGCAAAAAAAGGACTTGAGAAGTTTAATTATCGGCATTAAGGGTTTGCATGTTGACGCAAGTATTATAAGAGGTTGATACGTAAGTGTTGTGAGGGTTTCCCAAGAGATTAACATGATGTAAGCCATTGCGGGCCTCTTCATCGGCAGCCAGCGCCGCGGTGTCGTTCGGGCTTTCGCCGGCTTTGTGGGCAGTGGTGGTGACAGTCGTAGTCTCCTGGAAAGATCTTAATATAGGGGCCTTAATTATTAGAATAGGATTTTGGGGCCCATTATACTATAATTATACTAAGGAACAGACACCCCATGAAGTGAACGGCAGTAAAGTTTATGTCTTCAGGGTGCTTGAATGTTCTGGGTCTGGATTCTTCAAGCTTGCGTTTGGCTTCGTCTGGCTTTTCCGAGTTTGAGGTTTTCCCGGTCGAAAACAACATGTACCCTCAGCTTCATTATGTCCCGATTGACGCTGCGACGATTTGTCTATGCATAGCATGAAACCTGTAAAAGCCTAAACCAACAGAGCACAACTTCATGATTCAGGGTTCTTGGTCTTGCGACTGTCGAATATGCCCTTCGGAAACACCGCCTCTGCGCAGTTCGGAAATCCAAGAGATAAAGAGTACACTTGTTCGTTTCAACCATGCTTTATACGGCATAACCCCTACCAAAAATAAAACATGTACGAGCCGTCTACACCCTATAAACCACAAACCCTAAACCCTACTGTAATCCTGAACCCGCAAACCCTTAAATGAACCCTCTAAACGAACCCATACGGGAACTTTTCATCCTGAACTCCAAACCCTTACAGGAACCTCTAATTAAACGAACCCATATGAGAACCTTTCAAGGAACCCTTCAAGGAATTCTTAACTTACCTTTGGTTAGTGGGGAATGGAAGAATTGTAGTAAAAGTAGTTATGCTTGTACCCCATGCCTCCATTCCCTACTAACCAAAGGTAAGCTATAGGATTATTAAGGCCCCTATATTATAGTACCCTTATAGATCCCTTATAGTAACCCTTATAGACCCCTTTATACTAGCCAAAGGTAAGTTACCCATAGGCCCCAAACTAGTTCCTTTCGGGGTTCATAGATAGAATTCTATAAGGTAATCCCAAAAAGGAACTACTTTGGGGCCTAAGGGTAAAGGTTCCCTGACAGGTTGTCCGAGGCTCTGCTGAAGCTCGGCCTTGAATGTGGCATAGTGCGTGGCAATGCGAGCTCTCCTGGGCTCTGGTTAAGGGATTTTTGGCGTACCATGATGAGGAAACCTTATTATGTACTACTAAACCCTAAACCCTAAACCATATTACCTACTATAAAACCCTATTACTAACCCTCAACCCTAAACCATATCACCTACTATAGAACCCTATTTTGACAGCTAAAATTTCATCTCTTCTTAAGAACTCATGTCTCCTAAGCACGGAGAGGAGAGTCGACGCTGGATTGGGGCTGCTCAGGGGCTATGGGTTTGGGGGGGGAGTTCAAGGGATATGGGTCCAGGGTTTAGGGTTTTGGGGCTTAGGGTTTAGGGTTCAAGCTTGGGGTTTAGATGGAAGGTCCCGGGCCCGTTTCTCGAGGGGTATAGGGTTTAGCAGTTTCTGTTGATGGGTTTAGGAACTATGGTCCAAGGGTGAAAGGAGGGACCCTTAATAAGGACCCCTAGGTATATACCCTTAGTATAGTTAGTATATACATATTAGATGGCCCATTATAGGGTAGGGGTCCCCATTAAGGGTCCCTCTTTTTCCTCTTTGATATAGGGTTCAGATGTGCGAGGAAAAGGGTGCCTTGCCCTCATTTGGCATCGTGACGGCCGGAGAGTTTCAGAGTGTCGGGTTTTTGGGGGGCTTAACGGGTTCTTGTTAAGGAGCTTAATTCAAAGGGGAAAAGGAGGGACCCTTAATGGGGACCCCTACCCTATAATGGGGTATATAATGGGATATAACAGCTATATTCAGGGTATATACCTAGGGATCCTTATTAAGGGTCCCTCCTTCTACCGTTGCATTAATTCAAGTTACCATAACTGGGGTCTATCATAACTAATGTGGTTCCCTTCTTATGGTAACCATAAATCTACTTTATCTCCCTTAACAAGAACCCAGTTAAGGTTGCGAAGATCACAGGTCTGGTCAGGAAGGAACGTGCCAGACTCAAACCTAAACACCAACCCAAGGGACCCAAAGGACCGGTATAGGTTTTGGGGTTACAGTAAATTCCAGAAAGTTGGAATATGATTATCCTAAACCCTTTATGGTAAATTATAAGGTATCCTACCCTGAAACCATGATCCAACTTTCTGGAGTTCCCTTTAAGGACCTAATAACAAGGTACTGGGGTTTAGGTTAGAAGGGGCCCCCACCCTGTAATAGTGACGAGAAGGATCATATTAGGGCCCTATTATATTCCTATTATACCAGTATTACAGGGTGGGGGCCCCTTCTAAGGTTTAGGGTAATTAGTAGTTATGTAGGTTAATATTCGGGAGAGTTTATGATTCTTCTTGACTTGGACCCTTAGGGTAACCGAAACCCTAAAGCCTAACTAAGCTGTAACCCGGAACCAGTCTGCCAGCACAGCCGAAACAAGCTAAGGTTAAGCAATGATGTTGCAGCGGCTTGGTGTTTACCCAAAGGCCCCAAAGTAGTTCCTTTTTGGGGTCCGTATATAGAACCCTATAAGGTAAACCCCAAAACGGAACTACTTTGGGGCCTATGGGTAGGGTGTACTTCGGGCTTATGTCTGCGGGCTACAATCAAAGGGGAAAAGGAGGGACCCCCAATAAGGACCCCTAGGTATATACCCAAAATATAGCCATTATATACCCATCATATAGCCCATTATAGGGTAGGGGTCTCCATTAAGGGTCCCTCCTTTGCCCCTTTGATACAAGTTTCAACCTAAATGCGCTCATAAGCCAACGGTGGCCCAAAACCTGCCGACACTTCACTGCGACACGTGCTGCTCAGACTTTGTACTGTGCAGTTTGCCGCCTACCTTTCGAGAGTTTTCTTGAAGGACCAGAAGACTTAGCAAGTAAGGTTAACATAGGGGCCTGAATAATTAGAGTAGCTCCCAAACCCTCAATCCTGAAGCCTAAGCCGCACACATTAAACCCTCCAGCCCTGACCCCTCCATCCCAAACCCCAAAGCTCAACCCCAATCCCTAACCTGAACCCAAATCCCCACGAGCCCTCCATCCTGACTCCTTCGGGGTGCAATTTTGGGGGCCTTAACAATTAGGCTGGGGTTTTGTGGCGCACTATGTATATTTATCATAAGGAGCCCCCAAAATTAAATAGTACAGATACTTACGACCCCTATATCATCTAGGATACCCAGTAACCTAAGAATAAAAAGGCCTCTCTCTTTTTGGTATTGGGTAACTTTATAAGGAACCTAGGACTACAAAAAGGGAATAAGGGTACTACTGGGCATCCTAGTCATATAGCTAGAACCTGAAGCTAAGCCCTTCCAAACCGAAACCGTAATGCCTAAAGCTCTTGGTCAAGTCTAGAGCCCTAGATCCAGAAACCCCAACCCGAAAAGGCCAGGCTGCAAAGACCCCGGAAAAACTGCAACCGAAGCTTCAAAACGGCGAATCCAGGGTTCAGGGTTTAGGGCTAGCGGCGACACCAAACACAATCCCCAAATGCCAAACCCCTTGCCAAAGCCTGTGGAAAACCCCTTGTCAAAGCCCGTATGACAACCCTCCCCTGCCAACATGGAACCTCTACAAACCCGCAGAGTCCTCCTAAACCCATTTTAAACTCCGTAAAAAAAGACCAATGAACAAACCCTGAAAAAAAAAAAAAACAGGCACAACCGGAGAAGCCACAAAAGGCAGACTCCCTCAACCCCACACCCAAAACAACCCCAAAACCCTAAACCGTCCTAAATCCTAAATCCTAAACCCCGAAGCCCGAACTCCGAAACCCTACGTCCTAAAGCCATAACTCCGAAACCCTGAAACCTTGAATCCAAACAACACCCCAAACCCCTATAAGCTCAGTCGAACTCCGGAAAACTTAGCAGACGGGCCGCTGCTCCGCCTCTGCTTCTGGCCCCAGAACCAGATGCCAACTCTGCGATTTCGGATGCTTTGCCTTGAACTTTTAGGGTTTGGGGTTAGGGTTTGGGGTTTAGGGCTTTACGGTAAGGGGCTTTCTGAAGGTGGGTTGCAGATTCATTTGAGCGTAAATTGCCAGAGACTCTTCGGCTAGTGAAGTCTCTGGCGGACTTCAGATTCAACCCTAAACCCTAACCTAAGGTGTACGCACCAGCCAGACAGAAAGCTTGGAGTCAGAGGGATGCCGGGGCTCAGGGATTGAGGTTTTGGGGTTTAGGATTCAGGGTTTAGGGGCGGAGTGCTTCGCCTATACAATTATTGCTCGGGGATTCTGGCTTAGGTTGTTACCGTTCTGGATCTAATTATGCGGTTCGGGCTTCAATCAACCCTAACCCCTAAACCTTACCAACCGAACAAAGCCGGGGCTCTTGAGCTTATGATGCTCTTATCTCCCGAAGAACCAAGCCCTCAAGAAATCGCCATCGTAGCTCCTTTGTTGTTTAACCAATCGTAAATACAGGATCCCATAGGGTAACCCCAAACAAGAAACTACGATGGAAACTATAGGTACGTTTCGACCTCATACAGTCTTGTTGGAAGCAATGGGGTTTTAGGGTATTGTCTGCTGTAGTTACATAGGGACTGCAAGCGGATACCCATGCCGACACCCACATTACAAGCTAGGGTCAAAGACTCAGGCAGATAGATTTCGGGATTTGTATTGGTTGTTGAGTTCTTTATCATGCTTCTCTTGGTGAAAGGGGGGGTGCGATGGTGGCCCTCGTGGGAATGGTCAAGTCTTGGGCCAGGCAGGGTATTGAATTGCTTGTTCTTCAAACATCGGTCTGAGAATATGACTAGTGATAACTCGTGACTGATTAGTGTTTCATTCTTCTTCTGACAGACAGACACGCAGACAGAAACCAAAATGCGCCTAAAAAACCCAAGCCCCAAGTGCGTACCAAGTGCTAAAAATGCAACCATACTGTTGATGGACAAAATCCTGCATTACCCTTTATAAGGAATATACCATAGTTCCCATAGTTTAGAGTCTTTAGGGTCATGCAGGATTTCGTCCATCAACAGTACGTCTTCGGGCTTTGGGGTACGCCTTCAAACAAGGCACTGCCACGACGAAGGCCTCGGCGTGCGCGCAAGTGCGAAAGCGGAAGCCGCGCTGGCTGAGCTCGTACAAGTGGGAGATCTTGTTCAGACCATATCCTCCAAGATGTCGGGGATTTAAATGGGAGTTTCCGCAAATTAGGGTACCTTATTTTGGTGACCTTATAATGAAGATCCTACTATTTAGAGTACCATATTAGGATATCCTCGAAGATGTCGGGGATGTAAAACTCAAAAGTTAGACACTTAGGGTTTTTTAGTGTAAGCTACTCGGGGTTGATAAATACTAGAGACTTGGGTTTGAGTTTTAAGCTTCGTGATGTGCCCGTAGCCTCAAAGTGAGTGCTGCTTCCTATGACTTCCATCCTAGCACCTTATCTTGCCTGGACCCTAAGAACCTTAACCCCTATAGACCCTAAACCCCACAAATCCTAAACCCTAAACCCTGTAAAACCCTCTGAACCCTAAACCCTCGAACCTAAACCCTACAAACCCTAAACCTAATAAACCCTAAAAACCTACAACCCTAAACCCTACAAACCCTAAAAACCCTAAACCCCATAAACCCTAACCCCTACAAACCCTTGTAAATCGACCCTAAACCCTCAACTCTCAGTCTCGAGTCTCATCAGGTTCTTCAACCGTTCAGGGCTTAGGGTTTAGGGCTTTTAGGGTTTTTAGGGTTCCGGGTTTAGGGTTTGGGGTTCAGGGTTTAGGGCTTTTAGGGTTCAGGGTTTAGGGTTTGGGCTTCAGGGCTTAGGGTTCTGGAGGCTTGGGGCTCTTCATTTTCGGGTAAAATGCCTGTGGGACCTGTAGGGTTTCAACAAGGTTGCTGAACACAAGGGTCCTCATAGAGTTTATACCTATAGTCTCCATTGTAGTTCCTTTTTGGGTCATTATAGGATCCTAACCATAAAACTGGTTAACAAAAAAAGGAACTACAATGGAGACTATAGCTAGGGCTTGTGGGGTTTTGGCTTACGGGTTCAAGACTTCAAGGCTTGGCGAGCTTTGCGATTTCGGGACGATCGAATCGAAGGCGGAATTTCGCGTTAGCATTTATAGCGGCCTGGGCCTAGGATGGGGTTCAAGGGTTGTACATCGCACATGCACTTTGGAAACTTGGACTAGAGAAGGGGCCGGTCTAGAGCTGGGGCAAGGAAGAGTGAGGCGTTTTCGTGGGCTTAGAGTACAACCATTGCACACTAGAAGCCCCTAGAACCCAAGTTTGTTTAAAACCCTTAGCTTAGAGGCTCGTAGACTCAAAACTTTACCATAAACCCTAAAACCCTAAAACGGAATAAAATCCTGCTTCCATGTCCGAGAACCTCGAAACCGCTCGTCGTATGCAGGCACACTCTGGCGTGGAACCACCACATAGGGTTCAAAGTGCTCCTCGCTGTGGTGCGGCTCCGTGTCTTGGGCTGGTCTTGGGTTACAGCAGAAGCCTTTCAGTTGGAAACCCGATAGCCTCAATCCCTAAGAGCAAAGTATAGGGAATCCCAGCACGATTTGTCCTTAATTAGGCTTCCAACTTGTTGGAGCTTACAATAGGCTCCATGGGGTTCAGGGATCTTACACAAATGGTTGAAGCCTTTTCCGTCCCGACGTTTTCGGACGTGTGTGATTCTCGGGCTTCTGGTATGTGGAGAGGCGGCAAAGTCGAACCCCCCTCTCCACCGTCGTAAAACACACACACACACACACACACACAGCCCTCTCTTGCATCCCCTTCGCACCGCTGTCAGGCTTCCAAGCTTGGTAAGGCAGGTTAGAAGTAGCTTAACGGCACCATTTTAGAGTTTAGGGTCTAGGCGGTTGTGTTGAAGTACTCATACCAGGAAGCCTTTCTGGCTTTACGGGTGTACTGATCTTGGCTATACTAGGAAGGTTCGAGGTTACCTGCTGCAGCCAGAGCTCCAGAAGATAGGCCCTCATTCAGAACTACCCTATCTTTGGGTTGTACAGTGCCTTGGGTTAAAGATTTCTTCGAAACCACTAAATCCCAAAGTCTAAGACCAGATGATCCCCTAAATTCACAACTAAATCTCAGACATTGTACTCTTCGCACAGCTCTACACACCAATACCACACCTCGAGAATTTGTCCCCATAAACCCGATTCCCCTACAGGGAACTCCAGAAAGTTGGAATATTGGTTTATGGTAGGATCCCCTATAATTTTACCTTCAAGGGGTTACGATAATGATCTTCCAACTTTCTGGCTTCTACTGTACACTCCCAACAAAAACGAGAGAGGTCCTCGTAGTGGATGAGGTAGGCGTCCTAGGAGTCGCGCACAATCCGGGCGAGGATTTCAAGCTTCGGGGACTAGACTACACCCTGTACACCCGAAAGTTTAGAGTTAAAGAGCTAGTTGGATAGGAGTTTAGGAATACACGACGCGAAATCATTAAACTAGGGTTGGAGGGGAGACTTCGTATTAAAAGTAAATTACGGGTTCTAGGTTGTAGGGAAGAGTACTGCAAAAAAATATCCCCTTCCACCCTAAACCATAAACCCCTAAACTCTTAAACCTCCAAACCATAAACTTAGGCGCCTATGTTTCGGGGTAGTGCAAAGGACGGCCTTGTATGGTGTTTTCGCACGCTTCCCATATTGCATGGTTGGAGCAAGGCTGTAAAGAGTGTGTACATTGATTGAGGCTTCCTCGACGGGTTTACTTGTATATGATTACTATGTACGTATGTATATATGTATATATGTATATATGTGTATATGTATATATGTATATGTATATGTATCTGTATCTGTATGTGTATGTGTATGTGTATGCGTAAATGTAAATGTAAATGTAAATGTATATGTATATGTATATGTATATGCATATGTATATGCATATGTATATGTATATGTACGCACATATATATGTATACATATATATATATGTATATATGTATATGTACACATATTTACATTCAGTATCTCACTGTATGAGACATTCCAAACACAGCACGAAACTATGCCCCATCATCAAGACGGAGCCGCCACGCCATGGGCATGTTGGTTGAAATTTCCGGCGTCGGGGCTCTCCGCTTTGCTTACCTCGGCTCTTTGGGCTTAGAGTGCTGTTGTCCCGGGCTCGAGGGTCACGGAGTATCTTGGAGTTTGTGGGATCGGGTTGCAGGCTCAGATGCAGATTGTCTTTCAAACACCGACGATACCTGAATTACTCAACCGCAATGCAAAGCCCGAAGACCTTTGCAGAACACACCGCGAACTGATGTTCGCGGAAGAAGCATCGTTTCTGTCCGAGGACCGTAAATCGACGCGGAAAAAGATTCCGATGTACGAAAGTCTGGACCACCAAGACGAACCCTGATCATCAAACTGATACATGGCCCAAGTTGTCTAGAGCGTACGGAAGCCCAAACGCATCAGGAGCCCTGAGCCCTAAACCCTAGCAGGCCCTAGCAGGATCCCCCCCAGCACCATCTAAACGGGGCTCATGCTCCTGACTGGTGGGTAATTATAGGAGCTACAGAATTCATATATGGGAGTTTCGCAAAATAGGGGACCCTAATATACTACCCTAAATAGTATGATCCATATTATAAGGACCCAAACAATAAGGGACCCCTAATTTTCGGAAACTCCCATATAGAGTAGTCGGATGTAAAACGGTGTTAGAAGCTTGGGATTTTCAGGGATGGGGTTTTGTTCACAACCGAAGGCACCAACACGTCCCTAAGCCCCCGAAGGCCACCTACACTCCAAAACATCCGCGAACACCCTAACCCCTAAACCCCTGAACCCTAAACGCTAAACAGCCTAACGGACCCTAAATCACCCCTGCTATAGGGGCCTTAATACTTAGAATAGGTTTTGGAGCCTAATATACTATCGTTATAATAAGGAAACCCCAAAATAGTATAGTTAACTATTCGGCTCCTATATTATTCATCGGAAACCCTAAAGCCCTAAACCCAATCCCCTACGCCCCGAATCGTCTCAGGTGCTCCGAGCCAACGATCGAAATCCGTCGCGCGGTGGCCGCAGGGGAAGTGGCTGACGTGAAACCCCTCGACCTGAAAGGCTGGTTTAGGGTTTATACTTAAGGGATCATGGGACTTAGTAACTAGGCTTATAATCAAGGTAACTGTACTTATAATTACTTATAACTCCAATTAAGGTATAACCCTACTTACTAAGTCCCATGATCCTCCAAGTAGGGTTTAGGGGATTACCTATCTAGTTTCCATGCAATTCCTGTTTGTTCTGACCAACCATATATTTGGGATCCTGTAACGTAGCCCCAAAGAGGAACTACGATGCAGACTATAGAGGTAGGATTAAGGATTTAGGGTTTTGGGGGATGCAGGGATTTGAACGTCTTCGCTATTCTTAGACCCTCAGGCTGCTTTACGGGTTCAAGACATCAGTGTCTATGATCGCTACGGATCAGCAAACCCGAAACCAAGCCCTGCACCCCACACCCGAAACCTTGTACGTTTAACCCCAAACCTTAAACCCGGAACCCAAAGCCCTACGCCTCAAACGCTGAGCCACTTTCCCGAGCTTCAACAACAACCCTAAACCGGAAATCGGAGCATTCCCGCGTCGGCACCTCGCCGCGCGCAGCGGCCTGGCGAAGCTCAGCACCATGTAGCCTGGTGGGGCTCACGAGGTCTTCATAATGAGTGTTTGAAGAGCATTTAGAAGGAAGGCGACGGGAAAAGGTTGAAAATGCCTCATTCTATGTCCTATCCATCTATCCATCGAAAGCTCTTGTCCAGGATTGGCTACGTTTAGCTTCGCCTGATACACAGAATCCTTCATCCTGCCCTGCCCTAAGGGCCCTAAGTACCCAAACGATACTACGGTGTATGCCTCATAGTGCGTGGGGCGGTCCAAAGTCAGTGCTAACATAGCGGCCAGCATAATTAGGAATCATGTCCCTCCATAGTCCACTGAGATAGTAGGGTTTAGGGTTTAGGGGTTTAGGGTTTAGGGGTTTAGGGGTTTAGGGTTTAGTAGGGTTTAGGGTTTAGGGGTTTAGGGTTTAGGGTTTAGGGTTTAGGGTTTATAGCTATACGACAAGATGGCAGCATGGTTATATTGATGTCCCTTTTACTATTGTTATTGCTACTTATTGATATTGTTATCATCAATTTTCACATACTCTGGGCATCGGATTCCCAACGGCCCCCTGCTCAGTGTTTGGGGATGAGGGTTTCGGGGATAAGGGTTGCGGGCTTTATGACCCGCGCGATGCTGCCAGCATATCCCAGCGAAGCGCAGAGCAATGAGAGAAGGGCTCCCGAGGTGCAAACAGCCTGGCACAACAGATATCTTAGGTACGGCCCCCATACAGTAAGAGTCTATAATAGGGCTACTGTTAAGAGCCTACTATATCCATATTATGAATATCATTCAACTATTACTGAGTGGGGGCCGTACCCAACAGATATCCTATGCAGAGACCTATAGGGTTTAGGGTTTAGGGGTTTAGGGGTTTAGGGGTTTAGGGTTTAGGGTTTAGGGTTTGGGGGGTTAGGGTTTAGGGTTTAACCTCAAGCAGAACTTCTCTCACCAAGCGGCGGCAGCGGCATGTTGCTCTTGGCGGCCTGATGAGCGCAAAGCGTCGCTTGCAGTTTGGCGTGGCTAAGACTCAAACCCATAAACTTGAGCCTGATCCCTGATCATGCAACATATAGTGGGTACAACGTGCTTGCTCAAAACTGCAGCCTAGACTAAACCCTACCCTAGTGGCCCAAGCCCTAGCCCCTAAAACCTAAACCCCTAAATCCTTATCAACTTCGTACCCGACTGTCGAGCCTCGAAAGCAGGAATGACCAAAGCGCCGGGTCCTGTGACAGAAGGCTGTGGGATGATCTCCGCTTAAGAGCTAAACCCTAAACCCTAAACCCCTAACCCCCTAAACCCTAAACCCCTAAACCCCCTAAACCCTAAACCCTAACCCCCCAACCCTAAACCACCGTTTTTCCGCCTCCTGGCCCTACTGGCCGAAGTAAACGAAAGGCGAGGGATGACCAAGCAGCTACGGGGCTTTAAATTTAGAACCTGATAAGGTTTACAGTAGAAGCCCAAAAGTTGGAAACCCACATGCCTCTCTTCCTAAGAGTAATGCATAGGGAATCCCAGCACTATTTGGCCTTACTCCGGTTTCCAACTTTATGGAGTCTACTGTATAAGGTTTAGGGCTCCGGGGTGAAAGCTCTAGGTTAGGTACGGCCCCAATACGGTAAGAGTGGGGCTATTATTAAGGTCCTACTATATCTCTGTTTTGAATATTATTCAACTATTACCGAGTGGGGGCCGTACCCAAGCTCTAGGGTTCAGGGTTCTTTGGGATTGAGTTTCTGGCTTCGGGCTTGTAAGGCCTAGGGCTGAACCTCTGCCGGGTCTACCCAAAGGCCCCAAAGTAGTACCGTTTTGGGGTTCATATACATATAGAACCCTATGAGGTAGTGCCAAAAAGGAACTACTTTGGGGCCTATGGGTGGGGTCTGCGAAGCCCAAACTCCTGTGAAACAGACGACAGCCAACTCGAACCCCTGCACCGCGAAACCAACCCTGAAAGCACACACCACTAATATAGAGGCCTTGAAAATTTCACTAGGGTTTTGGGGCAACATATACCATAACTATGTATAATGAGGAACCCCCCAAAAAATAGTATTCGTATCATATCAGGCCCCCATATGGTACACACACTTGACCCGAAACCCAAAAGTCCCAAACTCTATATGCATAGGCCCCAAAGTAGTTCCTTTTTGGGACTACCTTATAGGATTCTATATATATGAACCCCCCAAAAAGGAAACTACTTTTGGAGCCTATGGGTAAAGTCCAAAACCCCGTGGAAACCCCAAGGCCCGGCAAAGCCCAAAGCCTCGGTTCTTGCGACTTCCATGGCTCAGCGCCTTCAGCAGAGTTGGGCGGGGGGGGGGGGGCGGGGGCTGCTGTGCTTAACGGGTCATGGGACTTAGTAACTAGGGTTTATAATTAAGGTAACTGTACTTTTAATTACTTATAAGCCCAAATACGGGACTTATAACCCTACTTACTAAGTCCCATAATCCTCCAAGTGGTGCATCATGCGGCGTTCTGGGGTCGCAGGGTTTCTCAGCTGGAGGTTTCGTTGGATCATTTTGGTCTTTTGGGGCTGAGGGCTTGGGGTTTAGGTAAGGACATGCAGGAGTTTTATCGCCCAGGGTCTTGGACTACTTTTCCGTAGTACACAGATTCTACAAAAGCCGAATGTCAAGCTGTGAGGAGTCGCCGCTTTGCTCTTGAACCTCCACATCAAGCATAGCAACTGCTCTTGCCCTGAACAAAACCTGCATCAACCCCATCAACGCCCGATACACCATGTAAGCTCCAGATCGAAGACACACTATAATCCCCGGAAGCCCTAAACTCTGAATCCAAAGCCCAAAGCCCTAAACCCCATCTATATGCTAAACCCTATAAACCCCAATCCCTCAACCCTCTTTCCCTACTCCTTTAACCGTATGAATGCCTAAACCCTCAACCCTACTCCTTAAACCCTAATCCCTGAACCCTACTAAACCCCATCCCTCAAACCCTAATCCCTAAACCCTACTCTTTAAACCCTCATCGCTAAACTCTAAGCCCGATCCCTTACACCCTAATTAATCCCTAAACCCTACTCCCTAAACCCTATATCCCCTAACCCTGGGGGGAATCCCTGAGCTCGGAACGTTGAGGAGCCGTCGCCCACCGTCGTCGCCAGCCAAGACTTCATGGAGCCTCGCCAGCGTCTCGGGTTTTGGGGTTTAGGGTTTAGGGGTTAGGGTTCAGGGGTTCAGGGGTTTAGGGGTTTAGGGGTTTAGGGTTTAGGGAGGCATCCTTGCTTTTATTGCCCGGGGCGTCGGGGGCTTTCGGCGTAAGGGTTTAAGGCTTTCGTGAGTTGGGTTTGGAATTTGCGGTAAACGGATCCCAAAGCCAGCTTCAGAACGTCTTACTAAGAGCTTTATAAACATTCTATACTAAGGGCTTGAAGCAGTCTTTATGCGGGCCTTAGAAGGGTCCTCGAAAGGCCTTAGAAGGCTTCCAAAGGTTTGTAGACCGGAGGTGAAGCAGGGTTGTCACACTCGTACCCTAAACTCTAAGATCTAGGGTCTGAGTTGGGTTCGCGCCAGGTAGTTTTTGCCCACACGATAGGTTTAGGGCTAAGGGGTATGGTAGCAGTTAGGGTCATGCATATCACCACAATTGAAGAGTTTAGCTGAGGGGTTGCAACTTCAAGTTTATGTGCTACCTGCATGAAGAGTCCAAGGTTTATGATTTCGGATGGAGGAAACTGCTGATGGACACAACCCCTCTACCTTAACCCCTCCACCCTAAACCCTAAACCCTGAACCCTAAACCCTGAACCCTAAACCCTGAACCCTAAACCCTGAACCCTAAACCCTAAACCCTCAACCCTAAACCCTAAACCCTAAACCCTAAACCCTGAACCCCGAGCCCTTGTTTTTGGAAGTTCTGTGGTCTTGGGGGTCAACTTCAGTCCCCGGTGTGTAACATGGGTGGTTGTCAACATTAGGTTCTTTTTGGGTACCCTGAATAATGGGTGCCGTACTTTAATCGGGACCCAATTAAAAAGGGACCCTAATTTTGACAACCACCCATATGGTGGCCTCAATACTAAGAATAGGGTTTTGGGGCATATTCTACTGCAAACAGAATAAGGAACTCCCAATGTAGTAGTTGGTAATTATATATGTAAATTTAGGTCCCCATATTTGGGCTCTGGAATTCACGTGAGGGTACGGCTCCACCACGGGCGACCTTCGGCTGGGGACAAAGTCCACGTCCACGAGGAAAAGAAGCTCGGACCGTGCATGCCTCGGAAAAAAGACTCCTTTTCAAGGGTACTATATTATAATGTAGGGTTGCTTTCAGGGGTTCTAAAGGGTACTATGAGGATTCTGAAGGGGTACTATGAGGGTTTTCGGGTCTTAACATCTTAGAGAAGAGATGAACACTGCACTTATAACCCAGACTCAATGACTAATCATTGATGTCTAATGCTTTGTTTTCACGACGCCCCGAGGGTTCAGGGTGTCAGGCTTTTTGGGCTTAAGATTTAAAGTTCCAGGTTTGAAGTGAAGGCTTTATGGTTTAACCCTCGTGCCCCATCTGGAACCTAAGCCCCGTGGTTGAAATTTTGACTCTATTGGACGTAACCCTAACCCCTCAACCGTTGTCAATTATTGACCTCAAAAGCCGAAACTTCTGGCTCCTCATGATGATTGCTTCAGGTATGTCTTCACAATGATAGGTTTGGGGGTAGGTTTGGGGGGCTTCAGGTACAGTCATTGCTACCTAACACCTCGAGCCTTGGGAGCTTGGAGCCGGAGTTGCAACGTAATATACTAGGTTGGCCCTTTAAAGCCTCTGAAAAACAGTCGTAAATAGGGTCCTACTAAGCGCAATAGCGGAAAATATAGAATATCCCAAGGGCCTACCTATAGGGGCAGTGAGCATTAGAACATGGTTTTGGAACCCCAAGACATCTGCAATAGCACTGCCTGCTATCACAGCTTCTATCATACATTAATACCCTGTACCTTCTAGTGCCTATAGAGGATCTTAGAGGATCTCACAGAGGATCCATAAGGGCTCTTGGGGGTTCTGTAGGGAAATAGCAGATTCGAGGGCTCTAGGTTGTTTGGTTTCGATGCCGGAGCCCCGGCAGCAAAAAACCCGGCATCTTGATCCTCATCGCCCTAGGATGATAAGGAACAGGGGTTTTTGTTTTTGTGGGCTCTTTTCCACCTGCAGGTACAGCTAGGAACAGGGTTTAGGGTTTAGGTTTTAAAACTTAAATCCTTACTTGGAGGCTTTTTTCTGGTTTTCTGACCGAGCAAGTCCCGATTACCCCGTGGCCTTGAATGCGACGCTTCCAGAAACGCAAGGCCCTGAAATCTTCACCATATTGAACGGCCGTACCTCCTCCACAGACTTTCCAGTTCTGCACACTGTACCCGGAGCCCTAAACCCTGACACTGCACCATGCATGATTCCCACATTTTTGGACCCACTCTGCCTACCACATGCCCCCTTCTTCTAGATCTAAGAGTAACCTAGGAATAAAAAGGGTGCCCTTTTTGGTTTAAAGGGGGTTATAAGGGAACCTAAACCCTAAAAAAGGGAATAAGGGCCTACTCCGGGTCCTAGTCTTGTGTGCGCCCATCTTCCTGGTAATTTCAGCGTTTCTTGGGTACAGTCACGGGCCAACTCCTAAATTGACTGCACTCAGGCTTGAACTGCACAGTTGGGAATTTGGGTTAGAGAGCCGCTGTGCTCATTTGGCGACACACTGCTGCCAAAATCTGCCGAAGATGATGGTTCGCGAAAATAACCAGCCTGCACTGCTACATCCAATCGAGGAGCTGCGTATGCCAAGTCAAACAAAGTCGAGCCTCTAAATGCTAAAAATGAGTGGCGAAACCATATTACCAACCCTAAACCCTAGAAACCCCGAAAACCCACCGAAAAATGACCTGAACCCACAACCCAATACCCTAAACACAAGTTGTGGAGCCAAAGCGGCTCCAGCGCAACGTTCCTGAGCGCGTTCACGGGATAAAGGCGGTCGTAAGCCTCGCACTTCACGTGTTCATCCTCCGGCTCAGAGCGAAATGGTCTAGGGTGTGAGAAATTGGGCTTAGGGATTAGGGGGTTTACGGAGTTGGGCTGCGCCCTGCTAAGCAAAGACTTTATGCCATCTTATGTTCGTATTCTAGTATACCATCTTATATTACTCAATCCTAACCCCAGGAAGGCAGAGCGAGGCATGTCTTTGTGGCTTGGGCTTCCAACTCGGCTTGTTCTCTCTCAGCGATGGTCAATGCCCCCTAAACCCTAAACCCTAACCCCTGAACCCTAAACCCTAAACCCTAACCCCTAAACCCTAACCCCTAAACCCATCGTTGATCATAAGTCCTCCAGCCGGTACAGGACAACGATAGTCCATGCCGGCACATTCCCACCGAACTGCTGAGCCGCCTCGAAGCACATCTCTCGAATGCCTGTGCATGGAAGGATCTAGGGTCTATAGTGAACCCCAGAAAGTTGGAACATGGGTTTAGGAGGATGCTAGGATTCCCTATACTTTGTTTCTACTGTAGGGTTTAGGGTTTGGTGTAAGGTTTCTGGGAAAGCGACTCTGAAACAAAATCCCGTATAAGCTTCATGCAATAAGCTACAGGATTGGTGTCCAGTTCCTTGAAGGCCACATGTTGCCTGAGTACAAAGCCGACTTCATGTTTCGCGTCTCAAGATAAGTATCACGACAGCGTGTACGAAACTCACACCCCTAAACCCTGCACCCTACTCCATCCCCAACACCATGTATCCAGAAACCCCGATCAAAGAAACCTCGCCGAAACCCCGAACCCGAAACGAGCTGGCGAACTCCCCAACCCAGCAGACCCTAAACACGGTGAAGGGTTTAGAGCTTTTTTTGAGTTGAGGGTTTGGGGTGTAGGTTTAGGGTTTAGGGTGCTGAATCCTATGCCGTGCCTCGACGAGCAGTAGCAGCAGCTTCAGAATCCTGCATGTGATCGACGAAGACGGCGGCTGAAACCTCGCCGTTTGATTTTAGGGTTTTTGTCACCACTTTTCATTGCCAGGCAATAGAACAACAGAATAAGAATACGAATAGTACAAGTAATCATAATACTCGTAATGAAGGGCTTAGAGGGCTTCAGGATTTACAGATTACGACCTTCCCCGCGGATATTCGCATCTAAAGAACCTCATGGCTACGGCTGGACATTATGGACGCACAGGTCGCACCTCACCGGCCCAGCCGCACAACTGGTCGCGGAGGCCTTGGCAGCAATGGAGGAAGCAGGGTTTGGAGGGTTAGGGTCTATAGGGTTTAGGGTTAAAGGGTTTGGGGTTTAGGGGTTTAGGGTTTAGGGGAGTTTGCTGGGGGTTGCTCATCACACACGGCTTCAGTGGGCAGGCCTGCATGACCTGAACAAAGTGCTAGGATGTGCTGTCAAGCTTTACTAGTGATTAAGGAACCTATATCATATGCTTCGCGCGAGGTCCCGCGTTAAGGCTTTGGACAGGGAAGTGATTGAATCGAATGCGTAGGTTGCAGGAGACGTCTGCGAAAAGAATGGCACTGTTCGAAAGCCGTGCAAAACCCGATAGGCTATGACGCGAAATCAGCCAAGCCAAAAAACAAACAACAGAAAAATACTCTTCTAAAAACACTGTCTGAACGTACCCCGTTATCTGCTCCGAAAACCTTAGAGGTGCCTGCCGCGAGACCCTGGGCGACGAATCAAATCCCTACACTGCGCCTATGAACCCTTATAAGCCCCCAAACCACCCTGTAAACCCCCAAATAACCTACCAAACCACTGTACGAACCCATGGCAAAAACCTTAAACCCTTAAACCCTAAAACCCTACACCCTAAACTCTAAACCTCCCCTTACGAAAACCAACACCCAAAAACCGCTGAACCCCCTCATGAAACTCTGAACCTTCTACCCATAGGCCCCAAAGTAGTTCCTTTTTGGGGTTCATATATAAAATACTATAAGGTAGTCCCAAAAAGCTTCAAGCCAAGATTCGGCCCAGCCGGTCAAGGGAGCACTGGGTGACGAGGCAAAGCCCAGGAACTGCCCTGACATTCAGGGAACGGAGCTTTTGGGTTTAGGGTTTAGGGTTTAGGGGTTTAGGGTTTAGGGGATTAGGGTTTAGGGTTTCTCGGTTCAGGTGTGTATTGTGATTTATTGATTGTGTGTGTGTGTGTGTGTTTTTGTTTGATCTTTTATGGGCCCTTTTCCAACTGCAGATACGGAAAGAGGTTTAGAGCTTAGGTCAGGGGTTTCTAAATAGGCTTTTGGTGCTTCATAGGGTTCTAGAAGGGTAAGGGCTTTAGAAAGATTATTAAATAATCTTTCTAAAGCCCTTACCCTTCTAGAACCCTATGAAGCACCAAAAGCCCAATTAGGGATCGGACCTTTACGGCTGCAGGGCTTCTCTTGGACTTTGCAGGGTTGTTAGAAGGCCTGGGGGCGCTTCTGCGGGCTTTCTTCTTACGGTGCTATAGTATAGGGGCTTTAATCATTACCCATACTGTTGTGGAGGTTCCTGATTCTGTTAATAATATATACATACATATATACAAGTATAAACATATATAGTTATATATATATACACACATAGAATTATATATATATATATATATATATAGACACACACACACACCCCAAAACCCTTTCTAATTATTGAGGCCCCTATATTAACGACTGAGGGGCCGGGCCGTTCGGGTGTTGGAGTTCTCTTGGGATTCATTGGATGCCAGGAGTTGTTCTTATGGTTTGAAGGGCTATCAGGGTTCTACAGGGGTGAGGGATCGGGTCTTTCTTGAGGATTCTATAGGACTGTAAAGGTCCTATGGTGCTGAATAAACTCTTGGTGCTTCATAGGGTTGTAAAGGTTCGACAAGGGTCTTAGCACCTCCGAACCATAAACCCTAAATAAACCCTACGAGAGATTTGCGCCTCTGATTGCTCCGAGTTCGAAGGAGCACTTCCCTGCGATACGGGAGACGGCCCAGCCGACCCAGCCTCAGACCGCTTGTACTGGCAGGATTATAGGCCTTGAGTTCCGAAAAAGGTTCTATAGGGGATGTATAAAACTTCTATATGGGATCTTAAAGGGTATGTACGGGTTCTACAAGGCTTCTACAGCTGGTTTTGGACCAGGGAACTCGGTGCGTACTCCAAAGCGGGTTACATAGAACTGAGTTAATTCAGTCGAGTCTAGCTACCAGATTATGGACCGCTGGAACTAAGTCCACTGATCCTTTAGGCGATTTTGCAGTGTTTATATTTGAGCTTCCTTTTGCGTTCCTGGCGTTGCTCCTAGCGAGTTGTTCCAGCTGTTCCTTATGCAGGCAGGGCTCTGATTTTGGGTTTGGGTTCGGGGCTATGTTGTCTGGTTTGTAAAAAGTTGTAATTACAAGCAAGATCGGCCTCTCTAATTCCTGCATGACCGTACTTTTGTATGCTCCAAAACTCTGTTTCGATTTCTGGGAAGGCCTCTATGCTAAAGGGTACACCCTAAATACCCTAAGCCCTCAACACAAAACCCTAAACCGGGCCCTACAGGGTTTAAGGACTCTCGTTTGAACGAAAACGGTTGGGCCACGGTGCACCGCAGACTTTGCGTCCTCCTCGGCGCGGGCGATGTGCTCCTGCTTAGGATGGCAGCCCCCCGAGAGTCCATATGCATATGTGTAGCTAGGTATATGTGTGTGTATACATATATATATATATATATGGATATTATATACATGCGTACATACCTGCATTAAACTCATCCGAATCTATCTGTGTATATGTATATATATATATATATACATAGATACATGCACACAATAAACAAACATGCAAGCAAGCAAAAAACAAAATAACACACCTAGATACAGACATCCGTCCATCCGTGCATGCACACATGCATACACATACATGCATACATACATACATCATGGTAGGCTTGCTAAGATCAACGCTGCTGATGAAGACAACTGGTCCATCGAACATGCAAGTGTTGTTTGGCCCTTAACCGGGAAACTTCCGCACCCAAAACCCTGGATGCTGAACCCCAAACCCGAATCCGAACCTCAAAACCCAAGCAAAGGCAGTGCGTGGCGGTTGAGATGGGCATCCCGTGACTTCCGCTACACCCCAGACCCTGAGCTCTACAACTGAGAATTTTCGAAGCTTGGTTTGGCCTTGGGGAAAAACTCGGATTGCTCTGACTGCTTCTCGATTTTTGTTATGAACGGCTTTGGAGGAAGTAGGTTGTGGCCCGAAGTTCGGAGTCATGCTTCGTATGCTTGACCCAGCCTTAGACCTCAAACCTCAACCCCCGCAAAACCCGACAGTAAATCCCAAACCGTAAACCCCTACATAGACCCGCAAACCCTCATAGCCCCAAATAAGCTAGCCCGAAACCAGCAAAGCGCCTGCAATACCGAATCACCCTAAACCCCAAACGTTGGAAGCCCTCACACCCGCTGCCAAGACTCTCTGTAAGGAATCCAGGGACCAGGAAAAAGAAACCGAAAACGAGGTTTAGGTTCTTTGGGTTCAACATTTAAGAATCTAGTAGATAATTGGTTTAAGGTTTAGAGGTTTGGGCTTTAGAGGTCTAGGGTTTTAGCTTTCGAGTCCTCTGGGTCGAGGGCTTGATGGCTTTTAAGGGTGCAGAGCTTTTTTTGCGCTTCGTGCCGCAGCGGCTCGGCTGATACATGAACCCGGTCTTGTCAAGTTCATGTACTCCTCGCAGCTCGAAGAGCTTCACGCAAAAAATACACACGGATTGCTCATGATATGCATCCGGCCCTAAGCCCTGAAGGGCTAAATCCCAGAAAGCTCAAAATAGATATAGCTTTCGTTATTGGTATAGATGTATCTTACAGGCCTCGATACAGGTATGGAGATAGACATAGAAATAGAGATAGATATTAATGCAGATACAGATATAGATATTGAGAGACGTTGATGCAGATGCAGAGATAGATAAAGACATATATGTATATATGGTGAGGGAGAATGATACATGTAAAGATAAACGTATGTAAAGTTAGGTGTGGGTGTGTATGTAATTATGCGAACGCATATATTTATATATATGTATGTGTACACACACACATATATATATATATATATATATGCATATATGCATATGGACATGTGCACGCCCTTACATGTAACATGCACTATGTGTATATGTACATGCATAGGTACCTGCATATGTATATGTCTGTGCATACGCATGCACATGTCTACTATGCACATGCCTGTGTGTATGGATGCATGTAAGCATGTATGTGTGCATGTATGTATGTATGCGTGTTTGTATGTATCTATATGTTTGTCTCTGTCTCTGTGACTCTGTATGCATGCATGCATGCATGCGCACGAACGCAGGCATGCATCTACACGTATACATTTGTACATCTCTACGCAAGTAGTTGTTTTATTTGGATATGCAGTATTACAGACAAATAAGTACACACATACAGACCTACATACATAGATATATGCATGTTTGCATACATCCGTAAATACGTACATACTTACTTACTTGCTTACCTGCTCAATCACATACATACAGATTATGTACACATACATACCTACACATACATACATACATACATACATTCGTGCAAACATGCATGCATGAATGCATACTTACTTGCTTACTCACTCACTGGCTCACATACTTACTTACTTACTTACATACTTACTTACTTACTTGCTGATTCTTTGACATAGCAGTTTGCTGCCACAGTCATTCATTTGATTTTGCGAACATATTTAACAGAAATCAATTCTACAAGTAGCTAGGCCTCCATGGCCTGTTTAACCTCCAACTCTATAAAACCCAAAAATAACCAAACCTAAACGTGCGCCGACTGCAGTCAAGCTTCGTCAAAGCGATTTCGTAGCGATTTTGGGTTGCGGTTAAATGGGGGATCTGAGTATGCCCAAAAGTTCCAGAGCGTACAGTCGGCACACCAAAGGTTGGGTGTCTGTTGAGAGGTTTGCATCGGCCTGGCAATCAGAACTTATGTAAGAGGGTCGGGAATCTGGGATGCGAGCCCTACGGGTGATGATATAAATCCTGCAATACCCATAATACGGAATATACCAGAATTCCCATAGTTTAGGGTCATTAAGGTAATGCAGGGTTTATATCATCAACCGTAGTAGGAGGTCCTCAACCCAGTCCGTAGCTTCAGGATCCTCCGTGAACCGTCATGCTTCCAGCAGCGGAGTGCGTCCCTCATCGGAGCGGCTCAGAGGCGTCTCGTGCAGAACTGAGAGGAGAAGCATCACAAGAACCACGACGATCGGGATTAGCATGGCGTTCTGTGTTTGGGATGTTGTGTACAACATGACAGACGTCCCACAATCAGTTTCCCAGAGGTCCACTGTCAGGTCTTTTGGTGCGAAGACGTCGACGTGCAAGGTCTTCATGCTTGTCAGAAGGATCGAAAAGTCAGCATTGGACGGAACACCGCAGGCCTCGAGGTACCTCATATCCGGCACCAGAGTTGCACCCTTGATGCTGAATGGTGTGTCGTAGCACCTATACTGAACCTAGACCCCCTCGCGAAACATGTACTCTTAGCTGCTTCTTCGGGATTGTACTAACCAAAACTTAGAACTATTTCTAACTATCCCTGAGGAACGTGATCTGCCAAACCTGGGTTGCTACGAACCAAGCACCGCCCCAGAGATCCAGGGTGCTCTTCTCGGGATGCATCTGCATCCACACGTAGGCCTTTACCACACTGACATAGATATCACCCGACTCGTAGCACGAATCCGATACATTTTGGAATCCTTCAGCTGCCATGAAGGCGGATAAAAACACTACTCCGCCGAGTGAACAAGATCGCGCCATGCCTTAGGTCAAGAGCGAATCTCCTGAGCAAACTCAGCTTCGGGCACTGCCTTTCACATCTGGGAGCTTCCGAAAAGAGGGGACCCTGATATAGCACCCTAAACAGCAGGATCCTAAGGACCCCAAAATAAGGCACCCCGAATTGTCGGAAACTCCCAGCTCCTTTCCCATCCAGACACTGCTAAACTTCGGCGTTAGAAACTGGAAACCCACCTCTTCGGAGCTTCGCACACGGGACAAGTACTCAAGTCAAAACCGGAAAGCAGCAATGCTGAATCAGCCCCCCTTACTTGGAGAATCATGGGACGTAGTAAGTAATTAGGGTTATAAGTACCTTAATTGGGGTTATAAGTAATTTATGAGTACAGTTACCTTAAGTTGTAACCCTGGTTACTAAGTCCCATGATCCTTCAAGTAACTGAACCACAACTCAAGAAGTCCTAAACCTGTGAAAGCCCTGGGGCACACATACCTACACCCAAACTTCCCAGCGCCTCAAACCATTCTGATAGGTCGAGCGGTGGGGCCTCGCAATTTTGGCTTCGGGGAAGTTTGCAAAGTTGGACATGCTGTTTTTCCGGGTATTCAGCTCTAAACCCTAAACCCTAAACCCTTAAACCCCAAACCCCCAGACCCTAACCCCGCTTTAGCCTTGGAGTTGAGGGCTTCCATCGTGGAGCTTTAGGACTGGGATTCATGGTTTGGGGTTCAGGTCCTACCTGGACCCTATAAAACTTAGGGTTTAGGGTTTAGGGTTTAGGGTTTGGGGGTTCCTTTTCAGGGTTCCTTTTTTGTTGTGATTTCTTTATATAAGTCCTTAACAAGGGAAGTTATTAGGGGTCCAGGTAGGGTCTAGGGGTTTTAGGGTCTAGGGGTTTTGAGCGGTATCTAGTTTGGAGTCCATCGGCTCTCGAGAGAAGCGTAACATAGGGCCTTGCGGCTAGATGGGGTTGAGGGTTTTTTTTTTGTTTTTTAAACCCTCTTTTTCAACCGCCTGAAAGTTAGTTGAGGGTTTGGGGTTTAGGGTTTAAGGCTCGAGCTTAACAGCATTGGATTTAGGCCGAGAGCCCCTCGAACGTCAAGTCACGTTCAACTGATGAATCTCCTGCAAGAAGACATGTCGACGGATTCAACTAAGCCTCGTTTTTTGACACAATGTGGGTATCTGAACCATTTGCAATACGATTCCCTCATAAACCCCAGACAGCTGTACTAGAATCTACCACCCAAACACCCCAGACCCGAATATACCACTGTGACTGTGACCGTTACACATTTGCAGCACCTCTATGCAGCCCTGAATCTTAAACAACCCAAAACCCGCAAACTCCCTAAGTCCTAAACCCTACGGCCTAACCCTTGAACCCCTAAACCCTAAACTCTTCGAGAACGGTTCTGGGATGACCTATGGAGTCAAGTTGCAGGCTCCCTCATCTAGGCACCCCCTGTAAGCCACTCTTTTTCGTTCCCCGAAACCCTCCCCCTGTGAGGTTAGGGCATGACATGACGAGATCCTACCCTCATTTCTGCAGGGTGGAACAGCCTGGGTTGCCCTAATTTACCATTCTTTGCTGGATTACTAAGATCCCTACACCCTAAACCCTAAACCGCTTAAGCCCTACACCCTAACCCCCTAAACCTACATTCACCGTCCAGATCTGCATCAAAGGAGCCGGGCAGGCCGTCTTCCAAGAGCCGTTGTGTGGACCGCGCCCGGGACGGTCGTCCTCGCCACCGGCGTACATCTCAACCTCAGGCGCTCGATTTTGTGTGGATTTGGGAGTTCCAGAACATATGGGACCCTCATCTACACCCTAAACCCTAAACCCTAAATACCCTAAACCCTAAACCCTGAAACCCTAAAGAATCTAGAACCCCGGCTAATCGGATCCTTTCTTCGAGGAGCCCTTGAACCAAGTACGAAGAGTTTTCTGAAGCTTGTGCTGGGCATTTTCAAGCAGCATCATGGCAGTTTCCGAAAAGTAGGGGTACCTTCTTTGGGGGTCCTTATAATCAGGGTCCCATTATTTTGAGTACTATATAAGGGTCCCCTATTTTCGGAAAACCCCTCATGGTGAAATTCGATGCTGCTTGCTCTCAGCCTGATGCCCATAGCTTTAACCACTAAGGCGCTAAAGCCTCAACCCCAACAACCCTAAGCACCACAGAACACCCGAACCACGGGTCGTCTGCAAATACTAGTCAAGGCCCGATAAAGGGCGTTCGGCATCAGCAGTTTACGGTTCGCGCTTGACGATAGAAAGAGCTTGTAGATCCCTTTAAAAGAAACCCTATAAGCCCCTACAGAACCCTTTTCAAGATCCCTTTAAAGAAACCCTATAAGCCCCTACAGAACCCTTTTCAAGATCCCTGTAAAGAAACCTCTTGGGGTTTTCGGGTTTAAGGCTTCAGGGATCAAGGGCTGGAGTCCCTCGGCTATCGACAAAACTCAAATATTTCATCTTTCATCTTTCCTTTCACCTTCATCCGAAGTCGTAGGACATTTTGTCGGTGGCATATAATACCATCATTATGAAAGGACAACATGCGAAACGGTTGTAAATTACTCAAACCTCCTTGCTGCACCCTGTAGTACTGTATCTCTGCAATGAGCTGTTTTGGTCTAGATGGCCCTCGATGCTTGCAATGGGTTTCAACCAGGCTCATTCAAGATTGAAAACCGCGTCAGATTTGGAAAGAGATCCTACACCGAACAAACCTCACACGACTGAAGCAAAGCCTGACAATTCTTATGAAACGTAGACTCTCAAACCTTATACACTCTCAAGTCCCGACCCTAAACCCTAAACTGCCCTAAACCCTAAACCATAAACTGCCCTAAACCCTAAACCCTAAACTGCCCTAAACCCTAAACCCGAAGCTTTGGCCTTGAAGTAAATGCCGAGCGACTGCTTCTGCCGCTTCTTCGAGGTTCTCGGCTCCGACCTCACTCCACAGACATCGGGGTCTCGGTTTAGGGTTTAGGCTTTAGGTTCTATAGGGTTTAGGGTTTAGGGTTTACGTTCTATAGGGTTTAGGGTTTAGGCTTTAGGTTCTATAGGGTTTAGGGTTTAGGGTTTAGGCTCTATAGGGTTTAGGGTTTAGGGTTTAGGTTCTATAGGGTTTAGGGTTTAGGGTTTAGGTTCTATAGGGTTTAGGGTTTAGGGTTTAGGTTCTATAGGGTTTAGGGTTTAGGGTTTAGGTTCTATAGGGTTTAGGGTTTAGGTTCTATAGGGTTTAGGGATTAGGGTTTAGGGTTTAGGCTTAAGGGTTCTATAGGGTTTAGGGATTAGGGTTTAGGGTTTAGGGTTTGCATGCATATATGCATATGCGTACGTATGTATGCACATGTATGTATGCATGCACGCATACGTATTTACGCATTTATGTACGCGCACGCAAGTAAGTAAGTTCACCATCTGCCTATCTATCTACCTGATTAGTTCTCTATTTAATTATGTGTCTAGCCATCTGTTCATTCATTTGTTGATTGGTTTCCGTACTTGTTCATCTGTTTGTTCATGTACACATGTGTGAAGACATTTGCATTTATGTTCACATGGGTAATCCGCTGTTGGTCGCTTCCTGAGCCCTCATGGAAGCCTTATTATAAACACCCTAGGGTTTAGGGTTTGGGGTTTTAGGATTAAGGGTTTAGATGGGCTTCGGGTAAGCTGATACCACCCCAAAACACCTCATGCCCAATAGAACCACCAGAAGAGCCCGTACAAAGCCAGGCCTAAGCCCTGAGACAAACCCTATAGTCTATACCCTATACCCTGCACCCGCAGCCGACAACCCTAATAAACACCCTGAGCCTGATCCTCCCATTCGCGCAGCCGGGCCCCCCACAGCTTCGACTCCTCTCCGAAGGAGAAGGGGGGTGGTCTTTTTTTGCAGGGCCGCTCCCAAAGGTTGTCTTATTCAATTTCTTACCTTTGGTTGGTAGGGAATGGAAGAATGGTAGTTAAAGTGATTATACTTGTACCCCATTCCTCCATTCCCTACTAACCACAGGTAAGATTTCAGAGGGCTTAGGCACCGAGAGTGCAGAGTTTACAGTGTATTACAGATTCGGTGGGGCTCTTAAAGCCTTTGAAAAATATTAGTGAATAAGATACTCTTAAGCCCAATAAGGGAAAATTATATAAAATGTCCCAAAGCCCTACCTAGTTACAGATTCCTATGGCCATTTTTTTGGTGCGAGGCTTCAGGGCCGAAAAACTCTGAAACATCGATGCTTCCCCGGTCCCATCCATACAGCATCAAACACTGGGACCCACAAACAAAAAGGCAGTTTAGGGTATTAGGGTTGAGGGTGAAAGGGTTCGGGGATTAGTATTAGGGTTGAGGGTTTAGGGTGTTGGGCCTCGGGACTTAAAGTTTAGGCAGGGTGCAGATTTTCGGAATTCAGTGTTATCACCGATGTTCTACAGGTCATGGAGTGCCAGGCTACTTTGAAGTTCAAGGCTAGGGGCGCTCCGGTTTAGGGTTTAGGGTGCTTTCTGCTTAGTCTCGGACCACAGGCTCAGACTGGCTGGGTCCTTCTGGTGGGTCGTCGGCTAGCCCCGTCCAGTATTCCTGCGGTCTCTTTGATGTAGGGGTTTTTGGTTCGTAATACTACTATAAAGGAAAACGTGGGGGGGGGGGGTAACGATTAACACCTGTTGCAACATTGCGGGGTTCGGGTTTCTAAGTTTCAGGCAATCTGCCCAGTAGAAACTAGAAATGCAAATTATTGCTGCTGGTTGAGACTCAAAACGCCTGTCTTAACGGGTGGCCGTGAAACTGTAGCTCCGCAAGGTGTGCACAGCATAAGAAGCAATACAGGATCCTTGATCATTAGAGACATTAGAAAACTGAGTGAGGCAAACAAGACCAACAATTACAAGGGACTTCTGTGGAATATGCATACTCATTGTCCACTCCACACCTATTACAGGAAACCCTTTACAGTCCCATAAAGACCTAAAACACCCTCACAAATCTCAAGAGCACAGGCTCATGTGTTGGAAGTTCCCACTCCACCCCAAGATGCAGACACTGACATGGGGAAGCATAAGTGACATATGGTTGAGGCTCTGTAGGGTTAACGACTATGACAGGTCATTTGGCTGTCTCCAATGCAATTTTGCCATCATCACGTCCTAGACTACCATGCTGATGCTGGGTATGATGACAATGGTGTTTTTCTATCATTCTAGATAATTCGATCGGCTGATGGGAGTCTGAGAATTTCCAGAATGCCAGTCCTCGCACTGAGAGGCCCCAAACTCTTGAGCAAACTGGCACTCACCATAGTCCTTGGCTTCAGGTGTTTCAGGGACAGAGCTCTACAACTTTGTAAACGGTTCTTGTTCGGATGCTCGAATATTGAAGGGTGATGGAAATCAGCCCAGGTCAGGCAGATGGCAGGTCGGGGGAACGGATGAGGTCTGCGTGGACGTTATCATGCTTGGCCCGTGGATGCTCTGAAAACACGCGTGCGGCCCGGGTGGATGTTATATGGGGGTTTCCGGGACCCTACTCTAGTACCCTAAATAGTAGGATCCTTCTTACAAGGACCCCAAGATAAGGTACCCCAACTGTTGCTGATATAAATCCTGCATTACTTTAGGACTCTCAACTATTGGAATATTGGTATATTTGCTATTATGGGTAATACAGGATTTATGTCATCAACCGTAGTTTCGGAAACTCCCGTGTGGTTGGGCCATGGATGCACCCTGGGCTTCCGTCTGAATTTCTCAGGCTCCCAGTCTTAACCGAAAGACTCCTGAACCGGAAACAGCCCGCAGCCCTAGGTTTAGGGGTTTAGGGGTTAGAGGTTGAGGGTTCAGAGGTTTAGGGGCTTAGGGTTTAGTGTTTCAGGGGTTAAGGCTTTTGTCTCCATGTCCCCATGTAGTATACACCTAAGTCTTAAAGCACATGTATGGGAACCCCTTTGAGGCCTCAGTCCTAGGTCTATACTATATGGGTACATGGGCTAAACGCCTCTTCCTACCGCCTCTGTAGATGGGACGAGCCCAGGCGTACCCGACAGGGTTTAGGGCTTTTTGAACTCTTATATTCTACAGGGTTTTGGCTCTAGGGAATTTTTTGTTGAACTCCATTTCTGCAGGGCTTAAGTTTTCAGCACAGCCTTTCGCATTCCAAGACTCTCACTGAAGTGCGGCAGTTGGTCGTCTAGCTCTTTTGTGGGGTAGGTGTGTTTTTGGTTGAGGGTTTAGGATTTCACGGTTGGTGTTCTTTGTGTTGTTGGGATTTAGTGCTCCGGGTTTTTCAACTGCACCAATCCGAGCCAGATGAAGCACAAAGCCTGGAAGCCCTGAGTCGTGTATAGGTTTAGGGTTTAGGGTTTAGGATTTACGGTTAGGGTTTAAGATTTAGGGTTTAGGGTGAGGGTTTATAGACCGAGCCAGCTCGTGTGAAGTCTGGAGGATCGCCTAACTTCACACTTGGAAGTTTCCGAGAATAGGGGGCCCTAGTAGTACCCTATATAGTAGGATCCTTCTAATGAGGACCCCAAAATAGGTACCCCTAATTTTCGGAAATCCCCACTTCTCTTGCAGGCACAGAGTCGTACGGCGCCGTGTCAAAGTGGTCGTAGTGATAGTAATGATCCTCGCATGCTACGGTGGATTGCTGCTGCTGCTGCGGCGTCTGCTGCTGCTCATTACGATAATGCTGATGGTGATGAAGTTGAGGATGTCGATGGTGGTGGTGGTGGTGGTGATGATGATGATGCTGATGATGGCGAAGGTGGTAATGGTGATGATGATGATGATGATGGTGATAGGATAGTGATAGTGATGATGATCGTCATGATGACCGTGATGATGGTGATGATGGTGATGGCGATGATGATGATGATGATGATGACGGCGACGACCACGATGATGAGGATGATGACGCTGACGATGGTGAAGGCGATGGTCGTGGTGATATTGATGTGATGTTGACATATTGATAATGGTGGAGGTGGAGGTGGAGGCGGTGGTGGTGACGACGAACACGGTGGTTGGGAAGGTGGCCACAAGGAAGGCAGCGCCGGTTGGGTTGATGATCGCTACTACGGAGCCATGGAACTGTTGCTGCTGCTGCTGCTCCAGGTGTTGACAGGTTCTGATGTACCACTTAACAAGATGATGGGGAAGCAGATGATGAAGGCCAGTTCAGAAGTTGATGAGGCAGCAGATGAGAAATTGAGGAGGAGGAATAGGACGAGGGCGAAGAGCTCTAGCGACACCTTGGGACGATTAGGGATTGGACTTCTGGCATAACTCGGGGCTTTTTTTCTAAACTGGCTATGTTCAGAGTCCGCACTTCTAGCCTGGTGGTGGTAGCCGTAGTAGTAGTGCTGATGGTGCCATTGATACCTCGGTGCGTCGTCACACCATGCACCAGACTGCAGGGGGTTTAGGCCTTCGGATTTTATGGTTTATGAGAGCAGCTTCTAGGGTTTAGAGGTCTATCCACCAAAATGGATGTCTTAATTACTGGTCACGCTGCTTCCTATTCAAGCCCCGACGATAGACTTTGAAATAAGGAACTCCGCCGGTAGGCACAGGTCCGGACATCGAACCCATCTCTGAACCCTAGCGTGAGGCTCAAGGTCTAGACTGTCGGATCTTGAGTCTAGGGGTTTAGGGGTTAAGTGTTTTGGGGTTTATGGCTTTAGGGGTTTAAGGTTTAAGGACTGTATAGGGTCGCATATAGATCCCTTATAGTAGCCCTTTTCTAGAGCCCTTTAAAGGGAACCTTATTCTAATTCTTAAGGCCCTTATATTCATTTAGGGTCTTGGGTTTGACTCAAAGACGAAAACACATCAAGCAGGCTCGTGCTTCGTGGGCACCAAGGGGATCTCAAGCCTTCAAGCGCTTCTCGGCGGCCAAACATCCGTACAAGCGCCCCCAAAAACCTTCATGTGGGTGGTTTTCAAAATTATGGTCCCTTTTGGGGTCCTTATTATAATACGGCACCTAATGTTTAGGGTACCCAAGGAAAAGGGGCCATAATTTTGACAACTACCCATGTATAGAAGCCATACTTGCATGTATCAAGAGACACACTTACTTAAGGAAACTTCCTGGGATCTTGAGCAGAGACCTCGTGCCAAAGGCTTTGGCAGGTGCCTCTGGCAACCCGTGAACCCTAGAACCCTAAACCTGAAACTGAACTTGAGCCGACCGTGAGCCCAACAGCAGCCACGTTGCTGCCAGAGGCCCATGTAGGCGTAGAAGCTAGGGTCGTAGCCGTAAGCGTCGTAGTTGTACGAGTTGTAATTCCTGGTGCAAAGCAAACCCCTCGGCAAGCAAAAGCTCAAAACCTGCAACAACGGCACAGCAACGCAGGGACCAGAATAAGTGGAATAGTTTGGGCCAAGTATTATACTGCATTTATAAACGGACTATCAGGAAACAGCATTCCTGACTATTCAGGCCACTAATATCGTCGTGGATTGGGACGTGGCTTCAATTCTGGGCTTAGCGGGCTTGAGATTCAGGCTTCATGCGTTAGACTTAGGGTTCCTCCATGTCGTGCCTAGCAGGCTTAAGCATCGCCGCCCCGACCATGATCAGCAGCATCTCCACAGTCGACACCATCAATTCAAGCTCACCACAGCAGACCCATCGCTGAAGTACTGTAACCATCAACAACAGCAACAGCAGCATGATCACTCAGCGCCGCCAGCATCCTCATGTCCATCATCAGCATAATCTTCCTGATCCGACATAATCTGAATGCTACATCCTTCCTATCAATACAAGCTGGCTTGGACTCATGGCGCCCATGGCGCTTTGGGATGCCCCGTTCTACGGAAGTTGTGGGGATTTAGGCTTTGGGTTTTAAGCTTTCGGGACGCTCAGTTTTCACAGTAAACCTTGCGCCCTAATCACAAGCCCCAAACCATATCTCTAAACCCCCAAAATCCCAAATCCGGAATCTTAACCAGTTCTGCTGCTGAGGGTTGCACCTTTTTGGGGAGGTTTGGGGTTCAATGCTTGGGACTATGGCCCGGGCTAAGCAAGGCCTGAACCACAATCTTGGGGTCGTGCAACTTGGGCGGTCTTCGGGTTTCGTGTTTGGGGTTTAGGACTTTAGGGTTTACCAGGACCCCCCAAGTATCCTTTAATAAAGCCCTTATGGTCCTTAATAGTGGGTATTTAGGGTATGTTAGAGGGTAGTTGGGGGGTCCAGGTAGGACTCAGGGATTAGGGTTTTAGGGTAAACCGTTGAGGGATGTCCTGGATGCCGAAGGGTTCGTGATACACATCACCACTGCAGGCACTAAGCCAAAAAGCCTGAGAACCATCGAAGCCACTTGGGCTACTGGATTGCCCGGAATTCCACGAAAAAACATGAACTGAGGAACATATCTTAACCTGTTTTGGGAGTTTCTAGTTGAATCGCTTCATGGCAGGGCCGGTCCTCTGCTGGTCCAGCTTTCTTTTCATCTGCTGCTGCTGCCTCTGATACAGCCTCGGGGGAGGCAAGATGTCCAAGATGATGATCGGACTCCTAGACTCACACCTTTGGGGTTTCGAATAGTTGAGATACCCGAACCAAACTTGAAATTCGCACGAGCTCTGTCTCTGCAGATGCTACAATGCCTCTGTAAATGCAGGAAACAGGTACGGATATTGCTTCCAAAACCAACGTCCTGTACACCAAGGAACCCTGTGCAGGCCAAAAGGTTACAACACAGGACAGTGCAACTCCCAATCCAACCCAAAAAAACCAAACCTGTACTAGAACCGTGAGGTCAAATCTCAAGCTTCGCTGATTTCGCTCTGGAGATGAAGCATGGTTCAGTCATCTACAAGCCATTTCCTAGTGCAGATCAACTGTTAGCACAACCACTTCTTAAGGGCCATAGTACAATTTGGATCCCCGTCGTAGTCCTGAGGAAGGCAGTTGTAACAATCACTGGTCCACATACTATGCACAATGCACACTGTACTGTCCGCAGCATGCGAGTAAGTAAGGGCCTTTTTAACCGTTCACGCTTTAGACCGACCTACAGCAGCATGTTCAACCCTTGCTTTCTACGCGTAGCAGGTCGTAGAGTACGAGTCTATAACTGAGGGTGTTGGGCGTAAGTGCTTCAGCCAAAGCACTGCAACGGAATCACTGTATAATCAACTTTTTCCAGGGGGGGGCCCGGACAAAAACTTCAAAAACCCACCCGAGCGGCTCGAACTGCTCGTATTGGGCCTTTCCCAAGGGTTTACAGTAAACCCCAGAAAGTTGGAAACCAGGCTAAAGCCAAATAGTGCTGGGATTCCCTATACATTACTCTTAAGGGTGGAGGTTCTGGGGTTTCCAACTTTTGGGCTTCTACTGTAGGTTGTAGGTTCCGAACCAACAGAGTGGGGAGGTGGAGCTGAAGCGCGCGCTGACTACGTGCAGCTTTGGGGTTTGAGATAGTTTGCGGGTTTCCGATTGCGGGAGCATCACTTCGGTTTTGTGATTTCTGAAGCACACAGAGCTTGTGGTTTGCGGCTTCGTAAGGCGATTTTCCACTAGAATCTAGCAAGAACCTTTCATTTAGCATCGAAGCCGAAAGTACATGATAAACATGGAATGTACGGAAGGCCGTTGAAAACCATGCGGTCTTTCGGCAAGGTAGAGAAGGGCAGTATACTGCTAGGGAGACCAGAAATATTAAGATCAGTACTACCATTATTTTCTGGATGTTCTATACTTGCTTCGTTGTATATACTGTTTTGACTTCTGACGATAAGAGCTGTGATGACTGTTATCAATATTTTTTTGAATCTACCCCACACACAATGTCTATCACCTTTGCTTCTCAAGCCCAGCCCCTTAGACCCTAAACTTCAGGGTCTTAAGGTTGGCAGAGCGACATGCAGAATAGAATTGCAGTGCTTGAAACGCAGCCAGGGTTTCACAGCGAAATGCGGGCTCGGTTTGAGATTTGAGGGTTCGCCTGATTGCATCGAGTATCTGGAAACCAGTGGGTTGAACACCGGCAAAAAAGAGTTGAAGTGAAACCATGGAGCTTTCTGACACTACTAACACTACAGACAGCTGCAAGAATCCCCAGAAGCAAACCCCAAACCCCGAAAGACCGTAAGCACTCAAGCACAAGAACCCTCGAAAAAACGCAAGCTTTAAAACCTGAATGCCAAATCACCTGATCTGTAACCCTAAAGTCCCTTTTGACCCCTCCAACCGGAAAGTCCACGAACAGTTAACCCCAAACCTGAAGCCCTAGCCTCGCACCCCCAAACCCCCAATCAAGTACCCTCAGCCCAACTTCCTGTTGTATCGCAGGGGAGGGCTCGACGACGATGCCTCCGCGAACTGGGATCAAGCTTATGAGGAAACTAGGCTTATTTCCTTTAAGTGCAAGTTTTCTTTGCTATAAG